TCTGAGAATCAAAGAAAAGAGGAAATTGCTAGAGTGTGAAAAGTCTCTGCAATTTCCTGGGTGACAAGTCATTAAGACTTTCATCCAGATGCAAGTGAATTTCAATTCAAACAATAGAACCATTAGCACCCCTGGTATCTTGGTAGGCTTAAAAGTCTCTGCAATTTCCTGGGTGACAAGTCATTAAGACTTTCATCCAGATGCAAGTGAATTTCACTTCAAACAATAGAACCATTAGCACCCCTGGTATCTTGGTAGGCTTAACTCATCAATTAGAGGAAGTGACAATTATTCTTGGACACCTTGCTCTCCCAAGTCATTACTGCTGAAGTGTGCCAGTAGCTCATGTGTTCCTAATGTGTTTCACTGTTTCTTAATGTATTTCATTCTATTGGACATTTACATGGGACTGAGGTTTTCCATCATTAGGGGTTAATGATTGTTCCCCCATTTCTCCCCTTCTTGGTGACCAGGTTTAAATACCTGTGCTTGGAGTGAAATCAGAGAGATCTCATCCAAGCTATCTAGAGTAAACTTCATAGACTTTAACATTGGTAAAGCTCAATCCCATTTAATCTAAAGTAAAGACTTGTATGTTTGTGTTCATGTACTTGTATTGTATTTTGGATGAGTGTTGTATAAAGCATATTAACCAGAAATTGGGACTGTGTTCCTTTATTTCTTGACTCACAGTCCTGTAAGAGAAAGGACAACACACATTTCAACCTTGTCAAACTAATGATGGCACAGTTGGGACAGTCATTAGTATCACTTTATATTATGTAAAAAGAGCTGACCTTCCCAAGAATCATTCTTGTGAAGGTTTCCACTCTCTGCTGCACAGTGATTAGTGTTGTAATGTAGAGTGTAATATATTATATGATACTGTTATCTGAGAATTTCTTGTCCTTCTTGCAAGGACCATTTTCGATTATTTTTGAGTCCAAAAATAGTTCCTAGTTCCAGCTCTCATCTCCCATTTTTGAAAGGCCTTATTTTGAAATAAGACCATGAGAGACTTTTTCCTATGTCTCAAAATCACAATGAAATCCAGGCATGTTCTGGATTACAATAGTGCATCTGAGGCAATAAAATATTGCCTTGTCCTGCCTTGTTTTCAATACCCAAAAATAAGACCATGAGAGACTTTTTCCTTTGTCTCAAAATCACAATGAAATCCAGGCATGTTCTGGATTACAATAGTGCATCTGAGGCAATAAAATATTGCCTTGTCCTGCCTTGTTTTCAATACCCACAATACAATGGCCTAGAGTTTATTTTCCATATAAACTCTAGGCTGATCACCAGCAGGCTCAGAATTCTCTGGACCTGCAGACAGTGTTTTCTTGGGAAACTTCAAAACTTCTACTTGCGAAATTTGGAAGTCTCTCCTGTGTGTTTGTGCTGTGTTGTGCAAAAGAATATGTTCTATATCATTTATTTTTTAAACCAAGTGTTTTCTTTTACTTTAAAAAGCCCATCAGGACAACAATACAGTGATTGCACACTGTATCATTAGTCTGTCACCCCAGTAATAGTGGCAGCAACCTTGTCCTCAAGGATTGTGCCACAACTAATGCCCTTCCCTGTTCTATTCCCATGCAGTATATAAATGCCAGGATTTCCCTCCCGCTCTTCAGAACCATTCTAGAGTTGAAACAGGAAAGTCAAGGCTTAGCTATCCTAATGAAGTAAACTGTAGTTTGTGTTTCTCAGTCCTCTGGACTTGAAGGTTTTATTTGTGTTTGTGTTGTCACTTGTGTTTGTATGTTTGCCAGTAGGGGGATAACAAATAATGATTCTTGAGAGGAACACCCTCTTTGCTGTGTAGTGTAAAAGATGATTAGAGAAATGACTCTGCATTTCTATCTTCCTGGTTCCTGGTTCAAATGTGTTGTGGGCAACCTTGCCTTCTAGAGGTGTGCATCTAATGCACATTAATATTTCCTCTTCCTGGTTCCTCCCAACCAGGCAGTATATAAAGAACAGAACTTTCTCCTGCTCCTCAGAACCATTCTAGAGTTAAGTCAGAAGAGTCAGGAATAGCTAACCTAGTTACTTTACTGAAGTAAACTTTAGTGTGTGTTTCTCAGTCCACTGGACTTAAAGCTTTGTGTCCAGTGTATGCTAATAAAGTGTTGTAAATAGCAGTACACTCGACTCACAATCCTTCCAAACTCCAAAGTACTGGGAGCTAGGGGGGATAACAAATCCTTGAACTTACAAAAATGAGTCCTACTGTCTCTGTGAGGTGCTACAACAAGCAGTGCCCTGGGCAGTGTTAGGGCTCAAAGCTCTAACACTGCACCAAAGATTCTGTTGACATTTATTACATCAGATTGGGAGGAACACAATGGCTGGGCCCAAAGGATACCATCAAGTTGAGTCCTACTGTCTCTCTGAGGTGCTACAACAAGCAGTGCCCTGGGAGAGCAATCCTTGAACTTACAAAAATTCTGGCAAGAGAAACCAAAGCACATGATGAAATGTGAGCCATGCGTCATGCTCAAAAATAAATTTAGTGCACAATCAAGAGCAATCAATATGATAAAAGTAAATCCTTTCCTCTCATCTCAAGAGGTGCACAACCATGTTACAGAAAGGCAAGTATTATTTTGTAGTATTCAACTCCCGTGTATTTACTCCTATTTTCATTGATGAATATTCAATATTCTTGTATGCAACAGGCATCTTCATTCATGTATGCATATATACTATTCATTTGGTTTTCAAGTTTCTGTTGTGTTTTGAATGATACCAATAATCCCATGCAATGCAATTCTTGACCATAGTGGCAAGCTGGGAAATCAGCTGCCAGTTCTAAAAAAAAAAATGTTCACAAAAAATCATTCACAACTCCATGTCGAACAATGCTGCTGTGTAACGGCATCAAACTTGACTTTCTTCATGTTCTCCAAGGGTTGAACAAATGCTTGGACAGGGCTGTAAAGAAAAGATAAGACATCATAACCTCTCATAATGCATATACCTCATCAAATTTTGAAAAAAGCAGCAAAAACCAGCTTTCACAAAACTATGAAAATCTTGGGACATAAAGCTCACATTGGCAAAACAAAGATGGTGTTGATCATAAAATTCATTAGTTTAAGATGATCGACATTAATCTGACTACATTCTTTCGGCAAATTCACTAATCTAAAAAAATGCGATAACTCGTTCAGAATGAAAAATAACATGATTCTACATACGAAACTAAAATCGCTCAATATGAAGTCGTCAGACTATAAATTCTTTCCACAAAAATATACTCACGTTTGATGTATCCATTCGGTATTCGTTCTCAGAGGTTCATCACGGAAGAATTTCTCGCCACATGGAGGAACACACTGAGAAATAACGCAATATTTAAAGAGAACCAGAAGTGGGATTCAAAGGTAGATCTTACATGCATGTCTCATCTCTGATGTGGCGTAAAAGTACCATGTTCTCTCAGCAACGTCGCCTTTTGTCTTGCAAATTACTACGAAATGAATCCATCCTCCTGGGTATTCTGCAGGGAAATCGTTCACACAGCAAAAACTCGGCAATCAAATTCCACTCCACATTTTTCAACTCGCAGTTCGCACATACAAGTACTGCGGGAGCTTGTAAGGTTTGGGTTGGGCTGGCTGAAGTCCCTAAGCTCCGTACTGTATATACACGAGGGCTAACAGTTGAGAATTCCACTCCACATTTTTCAACTCGCAGTTCGCACATACAAGTACTGCGGGAGCTTGTAAGGTTTGGGCTGGCTGAAGTCCCTAAGCTCCGTACTGTATATACACGAGGGCTAACAGTTGAGCGGCTCTGATGGTCTTCAACACCACGCCTGGAAGAAACGAAAGAAATTACGTAACAAACACAGGCTTCAGCTCACGAGATACGGATGTATCACTGAATCAACTGCAGTACAGTAGATTGAATCACACTTCTTTAGCGAATCAAGCACTATTATTCGCGCATTTCTCAATGCGTGAATCGCCGAACCCGCGTGCGGGGCAGGCAATAAAGAACCTGATTTGTTACACATATAAGCAAGAGAAATTTTTCACGTTTCTTACTCTCAATCCCGACGTGAGGAATCATTCTAAAATCAAGGCTAACAAAGAAGGGAAAGTCTCAAGACATTAAATCGACTTCTGGGAGCGTGGACAGATTCACTTCTCACTTCATTCGTAAGTGCTAACGCTCGGAACGCCGCCATATTCAACCGTTGCCCTACTATTCTGCGAACGAAAGTTTTTTTTGTCTGACAAGGGCTGACATCTACGAATCTTAAAATGATCGTACACAAATGCGGCATCATTTTTCTTGTCTTGTGTTCCATCAACCCAGGTGAGGAGGGTCAAGAATTTAGAGCTGAAGTGCTTGCTCTTTCGTTGGTAGAAACGATTGAATGAATGTTAGTGTGTCTTAGCTCAGGCTAATTAGGTCGAAAAATGAAGTCTAGAATACAATTAATAAATTGGACCGAAATCGTCAACCTTTTAATTTTAATATCAGGCGAAGGCACGTGCGAGATATCAAGGTGAACAAGGGACAATCGTGCCATCTGATGCGAGCCTCGAAACACGAGACCCTAGTTACGCCCTAGTGTTTGTGGATTGCCAGACACTAACGACGCATGTTTGTGCATATAGATGTCAGTTTTGAGGGGTAGATAAAGGAGAACATTGGATGATAGATAGAGGGCGGCAGCGGTGAAAAATGGCGGCACCCCGTGACACGGTAGAGATGTTCCTAGTGGGTTGCTTAATTTAACCATTCTGCTTCGAGCTTTTGTACGTTAGCAGTACGTGCGAGAAGTGAAGTGAAAACTGGGAGTTTCGACTATTGCGCAACTTCTGTGAATTTTTGAAGTTCGTCATCTAGGCATATGCGGTGTCTCTTTGCCATAGAGTGTTTTCGTGTATATTTTTGTCGATCATGGTGGTAGTGTGGAGTGTCGTCTCTGATACCGACGTGTGGGGAACTTGCGAAATTATGCTCATCGTTCCATTGCAGGTCCCAACTATTCTCTGGTGTTCCGTAAAAAATTCCGTGTTCATCTGGAGTGCAGTCAAGCCTGGTAGAAGGCACGGGGACAAACCGTGACTGCATTCATCGCGGTTGTAGCTGATGGAGTGATTTCCTGGTCCTAGTGAACTCTTCCCTTTGTGCAACCATTTTCCCCCTTCAAACCCTTTGCACAGTATTCCAATCCTTCGATTTCACCCCCCGGCCTGAACACCAATTTCATTTGAAAACGGAAAAGAAAAATCGTTCTCTAAATTATGCCCTTGTTTGGTAAGAAAGATCCGCAGCCAAAGAAAGCGACGATGGGTAAAAAGGAAGACGACGCGCGTCCGAAAATTGAGGACAAGTACGAGCTCAAGGACTTGCTGGGAACGTGAGTCGCTTTTTTCATATCAATATTTGTCTTCGTTGTGGACAAATTATGGAAATCTATTGAAGTGATTTAGTTTAAAGCAATTAATTTTTTATTCTAGAAGCTGCATTTTTGAGATCGAAGTGCCCAGTATTTTGAAGTTGGCTGTAAGCCACCTTTTCCTCGAACATGTTCCCCCCAATGTTATTACTGGCATATTCACCTCGCTTAAAATGAAAATGTCTCGCACATCCTTAAAATTGAATATGCGACGTAAGAACCCGCTTCTTTATGGAATTGGGGTTTTGGCGTAGCTTAGAAGGCTTTAGTTATTATTAGTAAGAAATGCTGAACACAGTATGTCCATAACGTTACGAGGAAAGACATAGGTTATCTTGTTCGATGTTCATAAATTCTGTGCGTTAAATCATGCTCTGATAATCCAGTTTTGTTTTTCGGTGTACTGTTTCGATCAGGTAGACTCCGCTAGATAAGTTTTCGGTTGCAGTTTCAATTTCAAACTCGAGGAATACTGCGCTGCATGTTACGAAAACCTGAGAGGGATGATCGAAAGGTGATCTGGTTAGATATTCATGAATTCAGAGGTTTGAATTGGGCTGTATGAACCTGGTTCTGTTTTTCGTTTTGATTGTTTCGGCTCAAAAGAGTACGAAAGTCTTTGGCTGTTAATTGTAGAAATACTGTGTATTTAGCTATAGCATTATGATGAAGTTCAATAATTTTTTTGCTCGATATTCATGAATTCTTCAGTCGTTAGTCTTCAATTGTGAGGAATACATTATTTTATACATTTCCATGCCGCAGTGAGGTGATCCAGAGGTTATCTGGTTCGATATTCATGAAATCAGCGTGTTTTTGAATGACACTGTGTCAACCCAGTTTTATTTTCGTTTGTCTCGTCTGCAGAGAACTGACGCTAAAGTTTCTCTTTCGTTTCAGGGGAGCTTTCTCGCAAGTCAAATTGGCGGAGAGTAAGGAACGTCCGGAACAGTACTACGCTGTCAAGATTATTGACAAGCGCGCTCTGAAGGGGAAGGAGGACTCTCTGGAGAACGAGATCCAAGTCTTGCGTCGGTGAGTGTATCGAACGGATCACGTGTTCGTGTCATGTAAACCCTGTTTTGTCGACCTCGATGGAATTTCATATTTACTCCAAAGAAAGACACGCTTCGTTTTTTCGACAAAAATGGGCTCAACAAAATCAGGAGGTTTTTTTTTTTTTTTTTACATTGCATGTATCATGTGACGATTGCGTCCTAGATTTATAGAGTCAAGGGAACAAACAAAATGTACAGTACTTTCGAATAAGAATCATCAGCTATCGAGTTTACTAGCATTTTCAGGTCGTTGGAACATGGTACTGTAGGTAAAATTTCTGATTTTTATTCCGAGGAGTAGGCTGGTACCTAATGCGTTGAAAATCCTGCTTTTTGTTTGGAGGATTGAGCTGTTAATGGATGCATGAATGTGAAAGTAAGAGACAGCGTCTGAGCCTGAAGTTGTATACAGCATAATGAATTTACAATTTATATTCACCGGAAAATTTCTTCAGTTTATGCTTTTTTGCTAGTACAACTCCGGTCAACCGGATGACGCTCTTTTATCGATAATCGAACACTTGTTTGAATATTTTAAGTTGGGCTCTTGAAAAAATTTGAGTGACCCGTAACTTTTCATAACGAACATTTTTCCAAATCGTCGAAGTGCGTTGACCCAGATAATCGATCGCAGGTAAATCAAATAATCCGAGGTATTTGGGCTTTTTTTCTGCTTAATGAATCGATATTTGGCTTATTAAATGTCCATTTAATTTTAGCCCGGATAATTGATGTTCTATCGCGTTTTCTTTTAATTTATCTCAGCTTTGAATATTCACGAATCTTCGCTTTTTTCGCGTAGGTAGTTGTATTATGGTTTTGTTTCCTGGTTTACTAGAAGACCGAAAAACGGAATATTATGCCGTAATAGTTATGAACTTGTGAGTATGAAGTTTGGGCGTAGAAAGAAGGGAACATTTTAAAAGTTTTGGTGTTCTCAGGATGATGATACGATCCTGTTTCCATGTTCCATCGTCTTTTGTTGGAAATTCAAGTGTTGCATGTTTTCTTCTCCCTAGAATATTCACTTTTTGTGGCTGACCATGAATTTTATTCAAAGTTTGGTTGTGCCGCATTCGTTATTTCGGCTGTGGTTGGTTGTATTGTATCATTTTGGGCCGTGTTATTGATTCAGGTGACACCTGTTTGACCTAGTCTAAATCAAGATCTGGTAAAATTGAGAAACCAACCCGTGTATCATTAAAGTGTGTTCGGCGCATTTCAAGCGTTGAATTGTCTTAATTTAGATTATTTTTTCTTCACAGGCTGAGGCATCCGAACATTGTACAGTTGGTGGAGACTTTCGAGGACAAAAACAAGGTGTATCTAGTCATGGAACTGTGAGTTGTATTTTGGTTTCGTGTTGTTTTTCGTCAGTTAACGGGCGAAAATAATTTATTCCTGAAATTGCATTGGGAAATCTAGAGGCAAAGTTTATGGATTTTTTTTTTAGTTCTGTTTAGTTTTCGACGAAACCCTCGTGAAATGCGAAGCAGGAAATCGACACGATGTTGACGTGCTTTTTGGGGAATCACGTAAATCGTAAAGCAAAATACCGTAATTCAAGGCAGAAAATGTAGATCTATGCAGTGAAATTCCCTATGCATCTGATTGTGACCTGATTTCTGTTTCAGTCGTTTTATCATACAGTATCGTGTTTTTCACGCGTGATTGTATCTATATTATTTATTTCAGCGTAACTGGAGGGGAACTGTTCGATAGAATTGTGGAGAAAGGATCGTACACCGAGAAGGACGCCGCTGACCTGATGAGACAAGTTCTGGAAGCTGTGCATTACATGCATGAACAAGGCGTCGTGCATCGTGATCTGAAGGTTTGTATATCTCCTCAGTGCGTCAGCATTTTTTTTTTTTTTTTCAATAATCGTACAGCTGTGATGAAATATGAAATAGCAACCACAGTACGAAAAGAGAAATTTACTGATGTTCAGGCTGAGTTAGAATGCGTACTTTCTTATCCTCGCTTATGTCGCACGCATGATTTCTCGAACCGTATTTGCTATTTTATGTGCGAATTCATGTTGATGGAAATTCAAGAATAAATTCCTGGTCCTGTTTTGTTTTTGTTGTTTTGTTAATCTGCATGCAATCGTCCGGTCATATTTTAGAAAGTAAGCGAATTATTTTGCTATGTACAGGCAATTTTTGCGTATGGCATCGTATGCAGTGTTGAATTTGCAAAACTGTTCAAAAATTAGGTTTTTTAACTCAAAGCTCTGGTTCTTGGATGCATTGAAATAATTTAATGTACTTTTATTCTTAGCCGGAAAACCTGTTGTACTTCAGTTCGGATGAGGAAAGCAAAATCATGATCAGCGACTTCGGCCTTTCGAAGATGGAAGATTCCGGAATCATGGCGACTGCCTGTGGAACCCCTGGTTATGTTGGTTAGTTTTATTTCGCTCTAGAGTTGCTTTTTAGCATTCATGATAGCACTAGATAAACCTAATCACGTGACCATACGCTGCAATTTTTTTTCGTTACCTCTCAAAATAGCTTATGCGGCCTAAGGTCGAAATATTTGTGCCAGATGACAATTTTTGAGTTGAGTAACATGTTATAATTTTCAGGTAATGTTATTTTGGGCTTACTAATTTGAAAGATGGGGCGAGCTTTTAATTGAAGGTTTGAAATAAGAAATTAAGTACTGTACAGTGTTGTTGTTCTTGGAATTTGCTGAATGGAATTTCGTGGGCGTGCCCAATTATTTGTGAACTTCTTCGAAAGAATGATATTTTAAATTTTATTTATGCGTTCACCGCATTTTTCTGACAAGATTTCCTGCATTCTTCCTGTTTTTCTTTCTTATTGGCTACAAAAAATTTGGCCTTTAGCCTCGAATATACGATTCGTTCAAAACTTTTTTAGATTTAATCATGTATTTTTTTCTTCAATGAAATTTCGTGCTACAGCTCCGGAAGTGTTGGCACAAAAGCCGTATGGCAAAGCTGTGGACGTGTGGTCAATTGGAGTGATCGCATACATCTTGCTTTGCGGTTATCCTCCATTCTACGACGAAAACGACGCAAACCTTTTCGCTCAAATTCTGAAAGGTTCTTCGATCCCTTTTTATTGAAGAATTCCAATTTTAAAATTGAAGGCGAATCTATTCATTATTTTAGGCGAATTCGAATTCGATTCTCCCTATTGGGACGATATCAGTGACAGTGCGAAGGACTTTATTCGCATGCTGATGTGCGTTGATGTGGAGAAGAGGTATACCTGCAAAGATGCCTTGTCTCATCCGTGGTAAGTCTGAGGTTAAGCATCCTGGTTCCTTTTCATTTCAACGCCCGTTCTTGCATTTTCTGAATGCTGGACAGGTGTCGCCTGTACCCTCAAAATTTATTTTTTAAAGCCTTCTGGTTTGGTGAAACTTGAAATGATTCAGGCGACATCTATGCCATGAGAAAATAAATCTTGAAGCTGGGGACTCCGGGTGTTGCAAAAAAAGGAAACCAGAATTTCTCTCCTTACGTGATTTTCATTTGCATGGATGATAATCATGAAATTGAAGTGCTGATATCTGAACCAAGAAAGTTGTGTTTCCAGGATCTGTGGCAATGCTGCCAGTGACAGGAACATCCATGACTCGGTGTCGGCTCAACTGAAGAAGAACTTTGCCAAGTCCAGGTGGAAGGTAAGACCCAGTAGCCAACCCATCTGTTCTGATGTTTCCTGAATAAAGATAAATGAACACGAGAAGATGAAAGGAAATGGATGAATGGAAATTTTTCTGGTTGGAGGCTTTTTTAGTGGTTGCTAGAGAACCTCTCAGTGCTTTTGGAATGGCAAACCGGATTTTGAGGAGCTTCTGAATGCCTCCAGTTTTGGGTTGGTCTTCAAGTTGCTACGCTTCACTTGGTTGGCATTTAATCTTAAAAAATGAGTATGAGGTTGTGGTTCTTGAGTTTTCATTGCGAAGTTTCTTCATGCGTAGGGTACCAATAATCCCTTGAGATGTTATTAAAATTGAATGTCACTTTTTAAATTATGGAAGTTGAAATTATCTGAAGGAGAAATAAACTATTGATTTTCTTCTTGGAACGCTTCACACAAATTCTCACCTACTGAAATAAATTATTTCAAGTATTCATTCTGAGAACCTTTCTTGAAACCCAGCATTCTAATTTTTACAGTTACTTCATTGGTTCTTGACTTAATTTTTGCAATTGAAATTATTTTATGAAGGACTTACTTACAGGTATTTAAAAAGTTGTGATGGTCTAAAAAAAAATTTGATACAGTACATTCAGAATGGTTTTCTCAGATGAAGTTGCTGGGTTTCTGTAAAATTCTGACAAAAATAAAAGGTGGACTTCGAAGGCTTTTAAAAAATCGAAATGATGAAATCAATCCAAGTGACATTCAATTTTGAAGCAAATAAAGTACTGTACTGTAGTGGGTTGAAGGGTTATGGTTTAATGGTATGGGAATAATGGGTAAAATACAAAAAAAAAATGAACCTGTTTGTATTTGGTCAGCAACTGATGCACGCAATAGCTATGGTGCACAAAATGCAACGCCTTGCCCTGAGCTCTCAGTCAGAGCCTCAGAAGCAGAAGGCAGCTGGTGCTGGGTCGTCCTCACTTCCCACTACAGCGGAAGATGAGGAGCAGGTTGAGCCCAAGGCGACTAAGGTGGAGTCAAACCCTGAGCCCAGTGATACTGCTAAACCTGAAGGCAAGGACACACACACACGTAAAAAAACACAAAAATCACTCGCTCATTATTTCCCCCGATATTTTGTTTTTATTCTTATATTTTTTTCATCTCCCGCATCAAAATTATTTCAACTCACCCTCATCCGGATAAAAGTTTGAGGCGCGTTGGTAATTCTGCGTTGTGTTTTTGTTTCTCAATTGCTTTAGCTTTCGTTAGTTTGTTTTCCTTTGTTTATCGTCTTGTGTTTCATGTGCTGGGGCATGTATTTCCTCCCCCCCAGCGAGTTTCGTTGGATCAACGGTCGCTTGATCATTAATTCATTGTCTCTTTGTTTATGTTGCGAGTGTGTTTGCTTGAGAAGCTCGTTGACTTTTCTCTGCTTGACAAAAGGTTCTTGTAGATGCAGGCGGAGAAAAGGAAAGACCAGAAAATTTTGTAGGAGTGGTTGTTCAATTATCCGTTTTACTGCTTCCACAATTTGCATTTTAGCCAGTAGATTTTGTTTTCATTCTGTTGGCATAGATTTTCTTTCTGTTTTTACTGGTGGACTCACTGTCAACAACGAAATTCTCCATGCAACGAATTTTTTCTGGTCCCTTAAACGTCGGTGTAGAGAGAGAGTGGCAGCGAAATTATCTGTACGACGAATTTTTTTCTGGTTCCATGAATTTCGTTGTTTTGAGAGAGACAACGAAATTCTCTGTACGACGCATATTTTCTGGTCTCCTGAATTTCGTTGTAGAGAATCCCTGTAATATGGAAAGATGAGCGTATGGGACCCAAAACCATTCATTATACAGAGAATATCGTTGCAAACAAGATCTTCGTAGAGAGAATTCACCTGACGTTAGATTGAATGTTGACTAGGGGAGTTTCTTTATGTGGTTTTGTTTTATGTGTACAGACTGGTCTTGTTATGTTCTATGTCATTTTGGATGTGTATTTTTTTTTAGCACATTTTGCATGTTACCTCGATGTTCGAAAGTTGCGGACTTGCATGTGCAACGCTGAAAAAGGGTGTTCTGCTCTTGAAAAGAAAAATGTCTGGATTCGGAGTGGAATTTGTTGAACATAATGATGAGTCTGCTCGTGTATGGACAAAGGTTTGAAGAGAGAATATTTTTGGCGATTTAGAGATGAATGGAATGAACGCCTTAATATAGCTTGGATACTGTATAATGCATTGCATGGATCGATCGATCAGTAACGTGTTTCCTAAAAATAAGATTTTGGCGCAGTAATTGTGAAATGATCAGTTTCAATTGACTATTTTTAAAGATGAGGTATTTGAATCAGTGTGCTCTTATGCAAAGATTCTGCTCAAATGATGCAAGAATTCTAAAATTGGGCCAATATAGTAAAATCTTGTTACAACAAATGCCTGTACAACACTTACTTTTTCTCAAGTCCCTGTTGGAAAGCTCATTGAGAACATTTTAAAAGAATCTTGTTATAACAAACTTCCCACTTCCAGTGTAACAAACTTTTTTGATTAATGCTTAATATATTTTTCATGTAGAAGTTTTCCAACAAACGCAGGCACAGTCTGAAATTTCAATCCCAAATGTGACTGACATGTTTTTGAAAGATGGATGGAAGCTGTAATCAATAAAAAACATTCTTCCAAGGGGTTTCAAGCATTATTGTCCCAGAATGAAGTGATTGGTGCAACTGATGGAATACCTGCTAGAAAATAACTGAAGATTCTTTAAAAAAAATAATAATAATTTCCAGAAAATAAAGCAAGATTCAATTCATTATTGGCGAGCTTGATTTGAAAATGTTTCCCAGTCTTCAATTTTGAAATTCTCATAGCAAATTATTCTGTGCAAAAATATTTTTCTGAAGACCCAGAAGTTTTTTGTGACAAGATTTTACTGTATCTCTTACATAGACTTGTAGAAGAACATGCCATGAACATAATACTAAAATTATGCGCCAGTAAAGTTCAGTATTTATGTTCCTTGCGGTTTGAAAAGCCTAATTTTATTCGCCGGGAAACGCGGTAGTGTGGAACTGATTCAAGTTTACAGAAATTCCACTCACGAGCAAAAAAAAAAAAAAGGATTATAATCGACCAAATTTGAATAGAAAATAATTTTCGTGACGTTTTTTCTTGTCTCCTTCCCCTTTGCCAAACAGCAAGCTTTCAATGCGACGAAGGCAGTGCGCCAGTTCAAAAAAAAAAAAAAGGATTATAATCGACCAAATTTGAATAGAAAATAATTTTCGTGACGTTTTTTCTTGTCTCCTTCCCCTTTGCCGAACAGCAAGCTTTCAATGCGACGAAGGCAGTGCGCCAGTTCCAGTTACGAGGAGTGACCAGTAGTGACTGAGTCAACTATGAGGGAAAACTCGGACACACACACACGCATATTTACAGCGGAAAGGCTGCTTGCTGCCAACATGCTGCAAAATTTTTTCCTTCTCATTTTCCCCCGTTTCTGCAACCCCTTCTCTCGAAAGAGAAAAAATATGTGTGGGGTAGAAAGAAGGGAAGTCCAACTTGCTCAGGGTGGGGCTTGTTACAAGAACTTCCCGGGCCAACGTCGCAACGCTGTTTTTTTTTTTTTTTAATCTATTCCATTGGAGAAAATGGGGAGCGAAAATTCGAAGGTTCTAGAAAAACGGATTTCTCTTTCCTGAGTGTGTGAAAGGTATCGAAATGATGTGCGAGAATTTTTTTTTTAATTTGTTTCAAACATTTTTTTGGCAACGAATGAATTAAGTGGGGTTGTCGCACATTCTTTTTTTTTAAATGCTTGTCGCTTATTTTGCGGCGGCCGAATCAAAGCGCATAAGGGCGAAATCGCTTCACACAAAGATACCCAACACGGACTAATGGGTTTTCAGGACGACACGGACTAAAAAAAGACACTTGTTCAGCCACAAAAAGAAGAATGTTTAAATAGTTAAAATCACGCACCCCAAAGAGTTTTCAGGCGTGAGTCTCCGACGTGTGTGTGTTTTTTTTTCGATGCAGGAGCTTTGATTGATTTCATAATCAATTTTCACCGATCCTCTGTTGATTGGTGGTCAAAGGAAATTTATGTCTTTTTTAAAGAATATTAAGGTGATTTACATTCAAATAAAAGTTGAACTTTTTATTTTGAAGTGCGAGGAGCATCAAGAATTGAAATGTTCATGCCTCAGTTTTCTTTCTGTGGAATATCTGCCGTCTTCATGAAGTACACTCGAAATTGCTTCACGTGCATTTGATAATTATATATTTAGTTTCAGTGTGCGCGCACTTGGGTTACTTTTGAGTGCCATTTTTGTATTTAAATTTAGACAGAATAGTGCACTGCGCTTCAACAAGATTATCAGTATTTCTAGTAACTTTTTCAATGCCTTATTATATTACTCGCGAAAATGAGACGGTTGAAAATATGAAGCAAGAAGAAGTTGAAAGTAATCCAACTCATGTCGAATTGTGCCGAAGTTGGTATTCTTATTCAAGGAAGTTTTTGAAATATTGCATTTTTTGACAATGAAAAAATCTGGGCTTGATTCTTACTTGGGGTTGTGTGGGACTTGAGTACAATACAGTAATTATTTCCAATTGGAAGTTTGCAAAGCAACTGAGCTGCAGGCTAAAAAGATAATTCTATGTTAAGAATTTCAATTTTCTAAACTTGCAGATTTCCAGCAAAATCTTGAAATAATGAGCGCGCAGAAAATTTTTTTTTAATCAATCTGTTTCTTTGTTCTTCTCTGTGGAATGGGGTAAAAAGTTCTTTAACTACCTAACGACCTTTCCCTGACTAGTACAAAGTAGGCTGACTTTACTACCAAACACCCACTAAACGCTCTGAAAACTCTTTGGGGAACCAGCTGTATAACATCTTACCGGGAGGTATGATTGAATCCATGTTGAGAGAGTTTGTATTTGTATGTATTCCCCCCTCTTATGCTCCCAGTTGTATTCAAGAAAAAAAGGGTTTCAGTGTAAGGAAATCAAAACTGGTCCCTTTAGGACCCCGCTTTTTGGTGAAAACAGTGCAATGATTTTTTCTCAGTTCCAAGAAAAGTAAGCTGTGCAAAAGAGAAATTCTTCTGACTGACAGTATAATGTGCAACGCTTTGGCAGTTTTTTTTTACTACTAGTTTTCAGTCAAACCAGTGCATGTCTTCTACTGTTTTTTTTTCGAATCTCAACGGAGGAGTACAAAATATTCTACATGCTTTTTTTGTGGGGAAGATGGGTAAAAACTTCAGGAAATATTTGGTACCAGGCCAAAATTTTCTTAATGGTGCTTGTTTAGTCCGCATTCTGGCATTGCATGGACGGGACTGCTTCGTGGCATTTTCCCCCCTCAAGGGGTGCCATGCTTGCTTGTGTGTACCCCCCCTCAAAAAAAAAGAACGGCTTCTTTTCGAAAATTTTTTAATTTGCAAAAATCTTGGCACTAATGGGAATGTTTGTGAAGTGCCTCCATGGAGTGGCTGTTGACCTGGCCCCGTATTTGAAATTGACGCCCAAAATTCAGCAATGGTTTGCTTTTTTTGTGATCGAGGTTCAGTTACCTTTTTGGTTGGGTTCGGCCTGACATGGATTTACTCTGAAACGTCTGCTTTCCAGTTTATAACAAAAAAAGTGAATGGGGAACTCATTTTACAGGGTTTTGTCTGAATCAGCTTGATTAATTGATGTGATGTATTTTGTGAGCCTGGTTTTTTTTTTTTTTTCGAACGAATTGTTTGTGGCTTTCCTCTTGCGTTTTCGCGTGTTACTTGTTTTTTTTTCGGTGCCAAAATTGAGTTGCTACATAGGTTTCCGAGGAATAATCGCTTTTTAAAATTTGTGTTTTTCATACCGGAGTCTCAAAAGGGCTCCGAAGTGGGTTGTGTGTATGTTTTTTAGGTTGTCAAGCTTTTTGTGTGTCTTGAGGGGGTTTTCCATGAGGATGCGAGGGGTTTCAAAGAAGCAAGGCTAGGGTTGAAGGAGCTGCTGCTGCTGCTGAAGAAGGGGAGAACCTTGTCAGTGTGCCTGGAGCTTGATCTTGTGATAATTTCCTTCCTGTTTCTTTGTTTGTTTGTTTTTTTCTCCCTCGTGCTGGAAAATTTGGCACGAATCGCAAAACCAGTTGCGTTGCGTTGCGTGAATGATTTTTTTTTTTTTTTTTTTGGTTGAAAAGAGCCATTTTTGTTGACGTGTGCACGAATTTTTCCTTGTGCGAAAAATAGCAATGACCATCGGTTTGTTGAGCCTGTGCCTTTAGTGTCCCGTTTAGGCCCCCCCTCCCCTCTTTTTTATTATTGAACCATCCCTGTATTTTTGCGGGTGACAGTCTTGGCCTTATTGATGGATTCATAGTTAACCTCATATTGCGCGTGCAAAAAGAGAAGAAGTATCCAGGTTTTCCTCGAACCCGGTACGACCTGATTGCGCTGCTACTACTACTACCCTTTTTGACCTTGTATGGAGATTGATCATATTGTATGGAGAAACTGAAGCAGTATGAAACTGTGAGTGGATGAGCCCTTGGAATCCAGTGAGTTCAGATCATTGCACTGTGAAATCTTGTTACAACAAACGTTTTGGGACTTCAGAAAAAGTTAGCAGTAGTGTACAGCATAATTTGTGAGATTTTCAAAAATAATGACTGGAAAAATACCACATCATACCTGCCTGTAATCAATTGATCTTGCTCTTCTGGAATTCTCAGCTTTTCTAAATATTGTTTGAAAAACAGTGATTGTATGAAACAAAAATCAGTTTCAATCATGCTTTCAATCAGTTGCAGCAATCTCTTCATTTTGACAGGATTATGTGTGGAACCACTTGAAAGCATGTTTGTCATTAATTATGGCCTCCATCCATGCTTCAAGAACCAGTCAGTCATATTTTGAAGTTGGACATTTTAGACTTAGCTTGCCTTAGTCAGGAAATTTCTACCTAGAGAATCAATTATACATTCTTTTAAAATGTGTTGTTATACCAGAATTGTGAAGTTTGTTTACCTAAAAATTTGTTGTGACAAGATTTTACTGTATTATATGGTCTTCTGGCTTCCAACTTTTCTGAAGTTGGTGGCCTGATTCTATGTACTGTAACTGTATATTTATGGAGATTTTCAAGTGGAACATGATTTGTATGATTTTTTTAGTATTCAATTGCAAGTGAGGTTCAATGAGGGAATTGCTGGTTTTCACAGATCCTGTGCAGTATTTGAACCTTGTGAATGAAAGCTTGTTTTTCTGGATGTCCAAATTATGTTAGTTGTGTCAGCAAATGTTTCACTGATGTGAGAAGTTCAGAAAAGCAAAAGTAGAAACTCTCCCTGAGATGAAGTTTCCATGCAAAAGCAAGCAATCATGAAAAAAGTAGAGGGCCTTTCTTTTGTATCTAAGTTCATGTAATTGTGCATCTTAGTGTGCTAGAAAAATATTTCTCTGCTTTCTGACCAAATCAAGCAATATCTGGTTGTTGAAAATTAGGGCACATTGTGTTGGGCGGAAGTCCTTCCATCATTGGTGTAAGATTGTCAAGATAATCATGGTTTTCAAAGGACTGTGAACTAATGATCTGAACTCACTGGTGTAAGAAAGAAAAAACCTTGCAAAATTTCGGCTGAAGAAAATGCCTTGATTCAGCAAGCCCTCGTGTGCAGCATCCAAGCTTGTGGTGATCTCGCGGTTGGTTTCAAGACCTTTTTTCAGCTGTTGATGTTGTCCGAATTCCTGAAGTTCATGGGTTGTTTCCAATGGTTCTGAGTCTTATTGTGCAAAAATCTTGTGGTTTATCTCGTTGCGTTCCATCCACCTGGAATTGCGTTCCTATTTTGCTTTGTCTTCATTTCGTTGAAAACGCAAAAAGAAACCAGCAGGGTGACTTGAGAAATTTTGGCAATCTTTTCCACATTCCGTGCAGGGTTCAATCTGGCTAGTTGGGATATTTTGCGAGATATTTCTGTCTGATTTTTACTGTGCCAAAGATGAAGCTTGAAAATTCCATTCCACTGATGTGCTGAGGAGAGGGTATGCTTCAAAACTGTGCTTCTGTTTTAGTTTCCTTTACAAGGACTTGGATTCAAAGGCTTTTTTGTGTTTCGGATGAAAACTGTGGTTTGCGAGAGTTTTTGATGTTTGATCGGTGCTTAATTGAGTTTTTTATGGGTGTGCGATTTTTTCCTCCTGATTCATCAATTTTCCCGTTTTTTTTTTTGAGTAACGTGTTCGTTATTGGTGGTCCTGCCCAATCTGATGCCAGAATTTACCACGTCACTGTTCCCAATACGTCCAATAGTATTGTATTGCCTTTGCTGACGAAAAATTTAATCGAATAGTGTCAAGGCTTTGTTTATTCCTCTTCTCTTTTGCAAGAAAAAAAGGGGAATAAAGCTGGTTCTCATCAACGATTGCATTGTTGTGATTCCCGGGCCATTTTGAAAGTCTTCTTTGGAACGAGAATTACAGTATGGTGTACCCCCAATGTCATGAGCTATTGACCAGATAAATTATTTAGATAATCAAGATTCATTGAACAGGTCAATGAATCTTGATTATTTTTAGGACATCATTCAATGATCTAAAAATTAACTTCAGGCTGCATACCTTCTAAAATTTTACTTGAGACATTAATACAGTAATTGAAATCTTTGTAATTCGTGGAAGACCCCAGTCATTTCATTTGTAGAACACCCTATCAATGAATAAATTGAAGAAACATTTTAATCAAAAATTCGTTTACTTCTGTTCGAAAAATAACGCATCCAAATCACAAAACAAACAGGAAATACAATACAGTATCTTGGTAACTGAACAAAAAGCCAACTAGAAGAAAAATATCACCAAGTATTCAAATTCAAAATGTCCCCACAAATGTCAAGAACTGTTAGGATACCATCTGCATAAAAAAATAAAGATTTCCTCTTTTTCACAAAATTTGATATCCAGAATGCGACACATTACTTAATTATTGATCTGGATGCTGAAATTTTTTGAAAATGCAGTATCTGATTCAAGTTCGTAACTCATACTTAACAGCAACAATTTGCTTTTACCCCTCCGCGTTTCACATGAGCTCAAAGAGTTTTTCTTGATCATTCCGAGCCACAAGACTTGATCATATTCATTCATTCTAACACAGAAATTCGCTTGAATAATTAATAATTGATCGTTTCCATTCTTGCTTCGAAAATATCTCAAATGCAGTCACAACTCCGAACTGAGAACTCTTCCATGAGAACCAACCAAATGCTGACTTCTCTCCTCATTCATGCGCAAACCCCTTTGAGAAAGTTCACAAAAAACGTCCTCACAAATGCAACCAAAAAAAGTGCAAAAATGCACTGAGCCACACTAAGCAAAATAACACTTTTCACGTTAACACGTGATGCAAAAGTCCACCAACACAGCCAAAAGCCACAAACCCGAGCATAAAGTAAAATATCTTGACGAAATTCGACGCTTCTTTCGTGTTGAGGCGTCCCTATTAGAGTCTTTTTTAGTGTACGTTGTTTTGGGGCCGTGACTTCCGAACGTTTGTTCGGCTGCACTAGCGCGGCGGTAAAGGGCCGCGGTGTGACTACCGTTAGGGCTGCGGGATCCCCAACGGAATGGACGCCGCGAAAGAAAACAAATACTTGGCCACAGTCACGAAAGGGAATCGTTTCCGGACCACAGACACGCCCAACGCAAACGATGTCATTATTTCGTGAACAAGTATTCCAATGAACAAAGGAACGAGTTTCTTTGGCTCAGTTTGCAGACCAAGGGCCACGCCTTCAAAAAATGCGTGAAGATTAATGGCCATGAAAAGGAAAATGACAGAGGAGTCCTTGTTTGGACTGTTGCTGGTTAAAATGTCGTCCCAAGAAACGCCTCCATGCACGTGGACTTGCATCTCGTCGGAATGTGGGCTTTCTTCCATCAAGGGGTCAACAGCGTCTCGGGCTTCCTCAGAATAAATGTCAACTGCAAGAACATCGTGAAACACGGCTAAAGCAATCGCAAACAATGCAGTAAAACTATTTTAGTAGACATGGATTGCAGTTGAATCTCAATGATTCGAACCTTTCCAAGTCAAAATATTTCAAGCACATGTCTGAATTTCCTCAGAAACAATGCATTAAAGACCTCTCATCAAAGGCTTTTCCTCTTCAAACTCCACAACTTAAATTTTCTGAGGCCTTCTGGCTATTTTTTCTTGACACAGAAAAAAAATTAAAGCCACAAAAAAGGACTGTAACTTGATGTGTCTTGAACAGAAGTGAAAGACTAATTGGGCAAATGAAGTGAGAAGTCAGTCAAAGGCCCAGAACATATTCTACAATTTCTTGCAATTTGTTGTTCATTCCCACAACAAAAATATAAATTTTCAGTACCCTAACTCAAAACCTCTCAAACTCAAAATTTTATTGGTCTTCTGAAATTCAACTTGAAGAGGTTTGACTGTATCAATAAAATTTGATGCATTTTGGGGTAGATTGCAATTAAACCAAGTCCACAGCAAAATTCACCATTTATTATTGATACCCTTTTTTCACTAGAACTCTGCTTACAAATTGACATTCGAAATACAATAAAATCTTATTACATTAATTTTGATGAAATCTTATTCCTGAGTAAGAAATGCACCTCATTCGCAGTAACAGAAAACTAATAAATAAGACACCAGAATTCAGCCAGAATTCAATTAATTTTCAATTTTTTTGATTTTGAAGGGGGTCCTGCGAAAAACTTTCCAATACTGTATATTCAAGTGTGACACTCGCCTAAACTTTAAACAATTTTTTTGTGAAAATATTTTCCTCTTAAATTTTGAGAGAGAAAAAATGTGTGCATGTTACTTGAGTAAATGCGGGTAATAAATGTACAAACTTGACGCTTTGGAAGCCTGGTGCGTCTTGACACCACCCCGAAACAACCATAGCCTAACCGCCGATTCCAACAGCAACACGAAAAAGACTCCAGCAACAACGAAAATCTGCGCCATGGGCAAAACAGACGCAAAATCCGTCTCGTCAAACTTGTCCTCGGCATACGGGATCAGGCCGAGGAAACACATGGCAATGAAAACACCTCCAGTGACGCAGTTGATCCACGATGGCAACTCTGACGATTGCCTGCCTTTGTCACAACATCGCACCAACAAAAACGGCGACAACCCGACCCCGAAATGCAAAAGGAACATCAAGAAGACACATGATACTTGGAGCACTAAAGACTCCATCGTCGTCTGCGGAAAAAAAAACATATACAGTACAAATAAATTGATATGATCCGAAAAAGAAAAAAAAAAGTTGCTCATAAATGTTTGCAAGTCACATTCAAATGATCACAGGAGGCAAATCGCATCAGAGACTACTTTCAAATATTATTTTGGCATTCCACCGTCAGCTTCGAATTTTGGGGTCTTACAGGGTATCCAGAAAAAAGTAGATTTTCAAGCTGTAGAATTCTCCTGAATTCATCTAGAATAAATTTTTCTTCAACCAATTCAGCTTCTTATATTTTCAAAAATGAAAAAAATGAATTTTATTACAGATTTACTCAAACTCATAATCCAGAACACGTGCATTTTGAGCTTTTTTTTCAGAGTTCTTCCCATTATCTGAGCACAGTATGGGAAGACTTTTGCTTTTTGGGCTCCTTTTCAACCCAAAATTTAGATTATGTGTGGTTTTCTTCTGCCAATTCATTTTCTGTTTCTAGAAATTTTTCCGCGTCGAATATTCAATTGAAAATTATTGAATTTTATTCAAAGGTAGATTGGGCTCCTTTTCAACCCAAAATTTAGATTATGTGTGGTTTTCTTCTGCCAATTCATTTTCTGTTTCTAGAAATTTTTCCGCGTCGAATATTCAATTGAAAATTATTGAATTTTATTCAAAGGTAGGTCAAATTTCATGACTCAGTTCCAATAGATTAGAATGACCATCTCACAAATAAAAGAACTCGCCATGAAAATTTTTTTTAGAAAGAATTGAAAGCTTTTCTTCAAAGTATGAAGTTATATGCGCCTTTTAATTTTAGCTACTGGTCAGAAAACCAACAGTTTTACCGTCACAAGCGATATTTCAAGATTGTCTGTCTGAAAATCATTTCATAATTTCCTTGACCATTAAATAAAAATTTTTCAGATTGACAAAAGAAAAATTGATAAGAGTGGACTCTCTCTCTACAACGAAATTCAGCGGACCAGAAAAAAAATTCGTTGTATGGAGAATGTTGTCGTACATGAGTGAGGAATCCCATGGGACTAACATAACAGTTCATTATACAATACATTGGGCTCCTTTTCAACCCAAAATTTAGATTATGTGTGGTTTTCTTCTGCCAATTCATTTTCTGTTTCTAGAAATTTTTCCGCGTCGAATATTCAATTGAAAATTATTGAATTTTATTCAAAGGTAGCTCAAATTTCATGACTCAGTTCCAATAGATTAGAATGACCATCTCACAAATAAAAGAACTCGCCATGAAAATTTTTTTTATAAAGAATTGAAAGCTTTTCTTCAAAGTATGAAGTTATATGCGCCTTTTAATTTTAGCTACTGGTCAGAAAACCAACAGTTTTATCGTCACAAGCGATATTTCAAGATTGTCTGTCTGAAAATCATTTCATAATTTCCTTGACCATTAAATAAAATTTTTTTAGATTGACAAAAGAAAAATTATATTCTCACCTGAGAGAGAGATGTTGCTTTAAGTCGCCTGGTCTTTTTTTTAAGCAACATACCTCTTACAACAGCATGTACTCACTCCTTAGGGTACCCTGATTGTATTGTCAAGTAATATGTTATGAGAGAATATCGTTCTAGAGGGAGTCTACCTGTATTCCGATGAGGGCAGAATTCATTGCCATAATCATGAATTTTTTTCTGCTAAATTGTACTCCTCTCAGGCAAAATTGAAATTGACGGGGAAACACAAGAAAGTGTTAAATATAAATTGCAAAAAAGTCTCCCAATGAAGTTTTGCACATGACTTGCAAATTTGCTGCAGCAACCCTCGTCAAATAAAATGTCAAGATTTTCCTTTCTTGACAAATTAAAAATCGTACGCTCAAAGTTCCCAACCAAAAAAAAACCCGTGTTCACTCTCAACCAAACATCAACAGAAGACACTTGGGAGAACAAAAACCGCCGGGAATTTCCTTTAGTCAAACAGACCAAAGCCCATGTCTTCGTCCGACTCTCCGCCGGATTCCTCCTTCTTCTTCTCCTCTTCCTTGGCAGCAGGTGCTGCTGCGGCACCTCCGCCAGGTGCAGCACCGGGGGCGGCTGCTGCTGCCGGCGCCGCGCCGCCAGCAGGCACTGAAGCCAGCTTCTCCTTCCCGGCGGCGATGACTTCTTCGACATTCTTCCCCGATAGGGCCTTCATGACGAGCCCGAGCTTCTCGGCTTCCACACTGACACCCACTGAGCCCAGGATCTTCTCGATTTCGGCTTCTTTGGGCTGCGCATTTCCACCGATGACGGCCAACAAGTAAGCGGCGACGTAACGCATTTTTGCAAATTTTATTTAAGCGATTAAACGCACGAAACGGCTTCTCTTACTTGGAAAAAAAAGATCAGGCCTTTCCCCTGGAACACGTGACATATAAATTGCAAAAATTATAGCGACGTTCAAAAATGTTATGTCGCCCTGTGGCTGTGTACCTGAAGTCCTGTGAACTTGAGTTTTTTAGACGGGGCTGTAGACCTGTTACAAAGCTTTATGCCTGTGAAATGGTTGCAAAACTCTGTTCATCTTGGTATTATAATTGATATTTTTCAAAATTTTGATACATCTTCAAAGTCAGCATTTGATAATCACAAAAATTTTTAAAATGTCAATATAAATTCCCGATAAATCATAATCCAAAACATTCTAGTATCTCAGTTTTCATCACTGAGAATTGTTTTGCTTTTTCTTAGCATTTCGGGCTCCTTTAAAAAAATCAAATTATGCGTAGATTTTCTCCTACCCATTTATTTTCTGTTTCTTGGTTGAAAAAAGCTATTTTATTCAATTTTTTTGGGACTTCTTCCTAATTTCTGATCAACGGGAGAACCAATTATAATCTCATTAAAATCTAAGGGAAAACGTGATCCGTCATGCGGACGTTCCGACTTGGGGACAAGGTTCTAGCTCCAATTACGTCCGAATCTCGGGGCCCCACCTTACAAAAGGTTCCAAATAAAAAACAAATGAGACACGGACTCTGGAAATCACGATTGCGACGCGGAAGATTGAAAAACGGAGACAATCACAATTGTATGATTTCAAAAAAAGACGTTTTTCCATTCAAAAGAAATAGAATACTTTCAACCTGCAACGAGAAAAGGCAAATTAATTATAATCAGTACAGAAACCACCGGAAAATGAAACTTAACCCAGACATAAAATCAACCAAAAAAAAAAAAAAAGAAGAAAAAAAGAGCAGAGAAGCCTCACTTGTCTTTTCCCTTTTTCAACACACCTCCGTAGTTTCACAGACAAAAACGCATAGCAGATGTCCGTTCATCACAAAAATGCAAGCCAAATACAGCGGGACACCGACACATGGACTTCAGGACACTTGAACTCAAAAAATCTGCCCCGACATCTGGACAATGTTTCGAAATACGGACACTTTACCAACGTTTTGAGACAAGTAGAACCATAATATTGTATATTGATATTTTTCAAAATTTTGATACATCTTCAACAAAGTCAGCATTTGATAATCACAAAAATTCAAAAAAATGTCATTATAAATTCCCGAAAAATCATAATCCAGAACATTCTAGTATCTCAGTTTCCATCACTGAGAATTTTTTGCTTTTTCTTAGCATTTCGGGCTCGGGGCTCCTTTCAAAAAAATCAGATTATGCGTAGATTTCCTCCTACCCATTTATTTTCTGTTTCTTGGTTGAAAAAAACTATTTTATTCAATTTTTTTGGGACTTCTTCCTAATTTTTGATCAACGGGAGAACCAATTATAATCTCATTAAAGTCTAAGGGAAAATGTGATCCGTCATGCGGACGTTCTGACTTGGAGACAAGGTTCAAGCTTTAATTACATCCGTATCTCGGGGCCCCAACTTTTAAAATGTTCAAAAATAAACCTGTGAGACACAGACTCAGGAAATCACGATTGCGACGCGGAAGATTGAAAAACGGAGACAATCACAATTGTACGATTTCAAACATTCAAAAGAAATAGAATACTTTCAACCTGCAACGAGAAAAGGCAAATTAATTATAATCAGTACAGAAACCACCGGAAAATGAAACTTAACCCAGACATAAAATCAACCTTTTTTTTTTTTTCTTCTTTTTTTCTCGTCTCTTCGGAGTGAACAGAAAAGGGAAAAAGTTGTGTGGAGGCATCAAAGTGTCTGTTTTTGCGTATCGTCTACAGGCAAGTAGTGTTTTTACGTTCGGCTTGCAATACATTCACGTGTTCCACGCACACTTATACTGGCACCGTTCAAAATAATCCCCTTTCGAGAGGAGTAATTTCATTCGGACATACGTCATGCAACCGTGCAAAATCCTCAAGCACTCCTATCCTGCAATTCCACATTCGTCACCAAATAACGGATACTTGACAGATTTCAGCTGGAAAACATGACCAGATGCCACAGATAATTCTTGCTCGACACGAGGTTTTTCAGATCATCGAATTGCTCTTCGTTTGCCTAGTTCATAAACGGAAAACTTTCGACGAAGTTACGCATTAATCATCCGTTCCTCTCATTTAATGCCAGCGAACAGGGACAAGACATTTTTCAGATCATTTTCCATCCTGACCAGACATAATTCAAACGATATTCCATGAGTATATAATTTTAAATTGTTGACGGCAGCAAGTTCGCAACTTTCCATGTCATCACACAGGTGTCACCCGAATTTTTTGTCGTCCAAATAAAATAAAGAATTAGCTCCTCAAGTATTCTTTTTTGAACACCTGCGCTCGTTTTAGATTAAATTTCCACGGCAGAGGCAGAAAATTTTTCTGGAAACCAAAGTTTAGAATTTTCATCTTCAGGGTCTTCAGCGATTCACTGAAATTAGTCTTTGTCTCATATTTGCAGACCCTGCTGTTCAAAATTTATTTACTTTCTGCATTTTAGTTAGGCCAGGAAAAATATTAAGGTGACACCCGCACTATTGAGGTGGAAATAACAGATAATTCACTTCGGGAATCTCTAAAACGAGAAAAACTCACCTCTGAATTAATCATACAGTATTTTATTTTTGGTCGGAAAATATGTCTTGCTCAGTGACGAAATCACACATTTCTGGACATTTCAAGTCAAGATAAATTACGGTAGTCAGAAAGGCAATCGAACCCATAACATATTTTTTTTTAGATTCTAATCTTGATTCTTTTCAGCTGAATTTAATGATAAGGGGTCATTGATTTTCGTAACTTTGCTTCACGTCATATTAATCTTCCCATGACAAAATCAACAATCCAAACAAAAAAAACAACAAAAAACATCATCATCGCACTTGGTACAAGCGCCAACACCCTTGAACAAATGAACATAGCTCACATCTTCATGTCTGGAAGTATTTCAGTTGAGCTAAATTGATGAGAAAAAAATCCAATTCAATACTGCACCTGGCTTTGGAAAACAAAATCACACCGGATTTTTCCTCTTCTTGAACACTGAACTTCGGCAAGAAAGATTCCACGAGTATTCTCAAGCAATTTCAAAAGAAAAAAAGGAAGCTCTCGATGAACCGTCGAGTGTTAATTTCAGCAGTGAACTGAAGCAAAAATGTTCCACTGTCAAGAAGAACGCAGTGCCAGCCCTCACATGAAGGGGATTTTCCTCGGAAGTCTCGCGGATCATATACTAATCGTGACAGCAGTCAAATTAAACAACAATTACTCATTTCAAGCAATTTATTTATAATAAAATATTCATCCCACTATGTCATCAGAAACAGACGAGTAAAATTTTGCTAAATTTTCAACTTTACAGTGTTACCCCAGATAATGGACTTCCGCACGACTGCAGCGCCGAATAGTAAACTCTGCTTCGAATTTTGAGCAGCGCAAAAATTACTGTCCATCAAAACCGTTTAAGTTTTATTTTTTAGGAAATGTAAATGCTGGTATGATTCTTTAAGAGGATAAAAGCATTTTCAATATTCTTGATTCGGTCGCACGACGTTTCCTTGTTTCTGAACTACTGTACAATATTTCCCTTCTTCAAGGGAACTAGAATACATCTCTTAAAAATTGATAACAAAGTTTCATCAGGAAGCAAATGAAATAAATAATTTGCTGGTTACTCGCAAGACTTTCGAGGAATCCCCTCCAGACCCTTCGCATAAGAATCTCACTCGTATTCAGTCATTGGAAATTGAGCTCCTCGGAACGGGACACACAGAGTCATGCCTCGTCTTCCTCGTGGGATTCTCGTCATCTGGACTAGAATTGGCAAACGTGGACAAGGCCACTGTCCGCTCAAAATCAATCGTCGCATACGACCTCGGCGGCAACAAAACCGGCTCAGTCACCGCCTCCGCCGCCTCTGCTGCTGCTCCTCCCACGCAAGACGCATTCGCCGCCGCCGCAGCTATAGCCGCCGTCGCCGCAACAGTCGCCTGTTCTCCACCACTGTCCGAGTTCCGATCCAAGTCCAGCTCCACGTAATTGATCCCTTGCTCAGAGTTTTCCGACGACGCCGCGCTGTCCCGTCTGCTATTCGTGTCCACGTTCACGTAATTCGGGCCATTGCCCGAGTCCATGCTGTCCCGTTGCACGCACACGTTCATGTACGTGGGGCCCGGGAAATTCTGGTACGTCGGCGTTACGACGTCGGAAAACGGCGGCGGGCTGAGTGGCGGTTCCGTGGAGGCGACCCAGTTGTCAAGCATGTCTTGCGGCAGAGTTGGAACAAACGCATTGTGTCGACGTCGGGCCACCAGAGACGTCACTTGGTTGCGCAAAACATCCGGCCGCGGCTACCGGCAGCACCGCCGCCATAGGCGTCGTTATTACCACCGCAAGCAGTACGGGCCCCAGTGTAAGCATCACGAACTTAACCTCAACAAGCGACGTTCTTGCACGCTAACAAGAACAGCCAAGTGACCGTGCAAAAGGTTGAAAATCTCGAACGCTTTGCGGCACTTGAACGCGAACACGCCGGGGCCAGTGGAACACCTTTCCAAACAAACGGAAAAGAACATCCAGTTGAACCTCCACAACTCAAACCTCTCCAAGTCTTTTTTTTTTTCAAGTCCATGTCTGAATTCTCTTCAAAACGAAGCATTAAAAAAGTTTGTAACTCGAAAGCTTTTCCTCTCAAACCGCCGTAATTAGAATTTTCTGAGGCCTTTTGCCAATTACAGTATTTTCTTGACACAGGCAAGATAAAAGCAATAAATAAGTAACTTGATGCGTTTTGAAAGGGAAGTGAGAGACGAATTGGATAAATGAACACTTGTCTCAAAATTCAGCATCTCGTCATCTCATTTGAGAGGCAATTCAAGGCCCAGAGCATCATTTACAATTTCCTGCAATTCTTTGTTCTTTCACACAACAAAAATGCTCATTTCTTCAACTTTAATTTTTGCTGGTCCCACGAAATTCTACTTGAAGAGGTTCGAAATTTTTCAAAACCATTCGTTCTCACCGTCGGCCAGATTCAAAGGAGAACAGCTCAGAGTCGAATCCGTATCTAGAATGAAGATACAATAAATTTTGAAACACAATTCTGAACATCAAGGAAAACAGATTATTTCATATACAACCTAGTGTAGCGTTTATTTAAAAAAAAAATACACTCATATCGTCAACAGTTACGAATTTTTGAATTGAATTGAAAATTTTCAAGAATATTCAATTCTCTTTTCTTTAAAAAAAAGGTTTCATTTTATTTTCTCGACAACGATGGCGTCGATGGGCGTTGCTATCATCGCATTTGCGAATTTCAGTTGCTATTTCGTGAATACAGTAAAAATTCGAAGTAGATCAAAACTGAATATCCAATGTATTTTTACAAACGCATACAATTCATGAATACGGGGAATTAGAAAACAAAGAAAAAAATCAAACCTTCTGAGACACTTGAGCGGCCAGTAGACACTAGGCTTTCCCTTCTGGTGCAAAATGAGGTCCGTGCGAGTGACCTCTATCTTGCCAGGCAAGAGTCGGTTTCCGTACTCGTCGATGTTCATCACGTCCCACACACTGCGCGGGGTTCTGGCCCGGCTCGACACGCAGCCCATCGTGCAGCCGCCTCCAAACGCGGCTACATCAAGGCGTCTTTGTCCCGCTGCCACCGCCGCCTCCACCACCACCACCCAGACACACACAATTACACATCTATCGCGTCACCACCAAAGCACCCATTTTTTATGATTTTTTTCATCATTTACTACCTTCGAACGTACACGCATTTCTTCGAGGAAGGCATTTGAGCAACAAGGAACGAATTATTTCCTGCAACGAAGAAAAAAACAGAAAACAATCAGCTGGGATGCGATGAACCCCAAGAATGGGATTTTTCTCATTTTTTTTAAAAGAATTTGACATAGTATTTCGAGTTATGCAAGGGTTTGACGCACCACGTCAAAATACTCACGTATTGTCGTTGATGTGACTTTTTTCCCCCCAACAAAAGCATTTTCCACATAAATAGAGGAAAAATTAACCTCTCGGAAGCTCGCTTTTATTCCCCCATTTCTCCAACCATTTTCTTTTTGAAGTTTCAATCAGAAACTTCTGAGACTTCAAAACTGGCCCCTCTTACCATCTGTTCTGAACGCTTCATGAATAAAGGTCTTCNCGGCGCCGATGGCCGTCGTGGCGGCGGTATCCGCAGCAATAATGGTGGCGTTCGTCATGCCCGGGGTCACATTCGTAGTGCTTGAATTGGAGTTGTTCGCTGCAAGAACGTGCGATTGTTCTTGTCGTAAGTGACCGTGCAAAAGGTTGAAAATCTCGAACGCTTTGCGGCACTTGAACGCGAACACGCCGGGGCCAGTCGAACACCTTTCCAAACAAACGGAAAAGAACATCCAGTTCAACCTCCACAACTCAAACCTCTCCAAGTCTATTTCTTTTTCAAGTCCATGTCTGAATTCTCTTCAAAACGAAGCATTAAAAAAGTTTGTAACTCTAAAGCTTTTCCTCTCAAACCGCCGTAATTAGAATTTTCTGAGGCCTTTTGCCAATTACAGTATTTTCTTGACACAGGCAAGATAAAAGCAACAAATAAGTAACTTGATGCATTTTGAAAGGGAAGCGAGAGACGAATTGGATAAATGAACCCTTGCCTCAAAATTCAGCATCTCGTCATCTCATTTGAGGGGCAATTCAAGGCCCAGAGCATCATTTACAATTCCCTGCAATTCTTTGTTCTTTCACACAACAAAAATGCTCATTTCTTTAACTTTAATTTTTTCGCTGGTCCTATGAAATTCTACTTGAAGAGGTTCGAAATTTTTCAAAACCATTCATTCTCACCGTCGGCCAGATTCAAAGGAGAACAGCTCGGAGTCGAATCCGTATCTAGAATGAAGATACAATAAAATTTGAATCACAATTCTGAACATCAAGGAAAACAGATTATTTCTTATACAACCTAGTATAGCGTTTATTAAAAAAATACACGCACATCGTCAACAGTTACGAATCTTTGAATTGAATTGAAAAATTTCAAGAATATTCAATTCTTTTTTCTTTAAAAAATGGTTTCATTTTTTTTTCTTGACTTCGATCGGCGTTGCTCTCATCGCATTTGCGAATTTCAGTTGCTATTTCGCGAATACAGTAACAAATTCAAAGTAGATCAAAATTGAATTCACAATATATTTTTACGAACGCATACAATACGGGGAACTAGAATAAAAGTCAACGAAAACAAATTTTTTTAGTTTGGAAGACTCTGTGAACTCGCCGGTCATCTGTGATCCGAAAGGGAAGACCACGTTTTACTCCAGGCACGCTCACTGGAGATAGAACGGTCCGTTCTCAGCCAAAGGCATGAGCAGCTTGTTCATCACGTCCCACACACTGCGCGGGGTTCTGGCCCGGCTCGACACGCAGCCCATCGTGCAGCCGCCTCCAAACGCGGCTACATCAAGGCGTCTTTGTCCCGCTGCCACCGCCGCCTCCACCACCACCACCCAGACACACACAATTACACATCTATCGCGTCACCACCAAAGCACCCATTTTTTATGATTTTTTTCATCATTTACTACCTTCGAACGTACACGCATTTCTTCGAGGAAGGCATTTGAGCAACAAGGAACGAATTATTTCCTGCAACGAAGAAAAAAACAGAAAACAATCAGCTGGGATGCGATGAACCCCAAGAATGGGATTTTTCTCATTTTTTTTAAAAGAATTTGACATAGTATTTCGAGTTATGCAAGGGTTTGACGCACCACGTCAAAATACTCACGTATTGTCGTTGATGTGACTTTTTTCCCCCCAACAAAAGCATTTTCCACATAAATAGAGGAAAAATTAACCTCTCGGAAGCTCGCTTTTATTCCCCCATTTCTCCAACCATTTTCTTTTTGAAGTTTCAATCAGAAACTTCTGAGACTTCAAAACTGGCCCCTCTTACCATCTGTTCTGAACGCTTCATGAATAAAGGTCTTCATCTCCAACTACAGTACAACAAAATTGTCCACCCAAATTGAGAAGACATTATTTAATTCATGTTTACTTTATAATTAACCTGAAATGCTCAAATTTTCATTCACTCTATCCCAAATTTCAATTAGTTTCAACTCCAGTCATGAAACAGGAGTTCACATTTAAATCTTTGACAAGCTAAATTTTGGTTTTCAAGAATCAAAAGGAGGAGAAAAAAAATCCTGTGAACCGCAAGGGTACGCGGTGACCGGCCCAGCCACGTGGTACGCGAAACTGTTGGTGAGATAAAAACTTAACACGAGCTAACTTTCTTAAGTTTAATCTATATATTGGAAGCTTGATTTGTTGAAGAATGAATCATTTCTGAAAGTAGAATATAATAAAAGTATTATTACACTGACCCCAAAACAAATGTTCAAGGCCAGTTGCATTGAAACCTCGAAGCCTGTAAAGGCGCTCCATGAGCTTATCCCGAAAAACCGTGCACCTACAACGAAACGAATTCGAAAAAACAAAGAACACGGGTAGCAAACAATTCATCGCGTTCAAAAAAATTAGCATCACGTTCTCCCGGCACCGAATGATGATTCTTGACATACAAAAAATCACACCACCGTACGACTCGTAACCGTCAAATGCAACATGTCATCAGTGCGGAGATCGCAAACGAAACAAAGCAGAATTAAATCCGGACGATTCACCTGTCTGTCAAAAAGCTCAACTACGAATCTCCGTCATTTTCCAAAGGATATTGACGGAAAACGGCGTTGCACAAGAGGATATTATCATTAGTTCCCCCAATTCGCTGTCCTCTCGCGTAAATCTCCGCCATTTCCTGCAGCTCCAACGGAACATATTGGCCGGCAATTTCGAGCAATTCGATAATACCTTGAGCGTGACGTACATCCTGTCCGTTGAGCAAAAAAAAAGTGTGCATTTTACATAAATAAATTCATGACACTTTTGAAAGAAGGAGCGTTGGAACAGTTCAGCGCACTCGAAAACAAGGCGTATCCAACAACAACAAAATTAATTTAAATAGTGCCAGTGAAAATCAAAGCAAACAATAATCGAAAAGCAACAACAGCAAAAATATAAAATACTAAAAAAGATACAACATTAAGAAAGAATATTGAAAACGGTAATGTCGACATTATTGACCAATAATTATCTTCAAAATAAAATCGTAGACAATTTTGAAGATTAAAAACGGCCCTGATTGCATTTGAGAATAATATTACTGCAGTTTTTGATAAAATAATGTTATGTACATGTCTGATTTGAAATTAACAATATTTAGAGTGATCCAGTAATTATCAATGCCGCTGAAACACCTAATCTCCAAATATTCCAACGACATTATAAAAATTACTTCAAACGTTCCTCCGGGTTTTCCATCAAGAGACTTTGAACAAAAGGGATTACGGTAAATAGCGTTAAAAATTATATTGTGACAAACAATTTGGACATGCTTCTTTATTATACAGAAGAACACCTTAAATTTTTGAAGATGACACAACAAATTAAACATGGAAGTTCATCACAGTCTCATACAAGAAGACGCTGCATTTTTAAACAAGGGGATTTCTTCCTTTTACGCTCAGTTCTTGAAAGATAAATTTTGAGACTCACTCAACTGTCCAGTCACCGAAAAAAAAAGAAATTTATGTGAATAGATCACATAAAAACAGAAAAAAATCGCAGAAAATTACCAGTTTTAAAATTTCAAAGCTTTTGAAAAACAGCAGAACTACTCACAGGTTCCGTCAGAAATGAGTAGGCAAACCCGACGCGTCCATCAAACGCTGTTCTTTCAACACGATCCACATAGTCCTCAATTTCCTCAGTGAAATCAAAGTTTACCACATGGGTTATGTCTTCGATTTGAGCAAATTTCGTTGCGGGGTCACAAGCAAGCAAAACACGCACGTATCCATTCATAAACGCTTTCAAGGAAATCTCACGCTCTTTCCTCGGAATGTCTGCGTGGTATGTTTCCACTGACATTCCATCACGCCTGAGTAAAATACCAGATGAAAAACAAGATGCGCGTATCAGTAAAATCTGAATCACAATCCACTTCACAATAGTATCAAAAAATGTTGAATTAACCCATATTACAGGAGTGGATCACCAAAATAATTGAAGTTTTGTCAGCCTAGCGATTCTCTCGTTGATTGCTGGAGATACTGATTCCTATGCATTTGTTCTTGATTTTCTGACAAGGAAGTGCGAAAATTCATTCAAACCTTTTTTACAATACAGTAGTTCTTGATATCTTCATAATATTCCGGTTTCACGAGGAAGTGCGAAAAACGGATTTTAAACCTTTCGCAGCCGCGTTTGCTGATTTTCACTAAAATTAAATTAAAAAAAAAATACAGACGTCATGATAACGTCACAGCAATTTCTGACTCGACTTCGAGCCCGAATCGCGATTTCATTTAAATTTCGAGATGAAAAAGCATAATCGCTTTCTTTGTCACCTCAGTGCGGATGCAACTGCATCAAGCGCAGTTGAACTATTGAAGAAAACCAGAATTTTCCTGTCGTCTTCAGCAAAGTCGTCAAGAAACTTCTTCAGAAATGGAAGACGTCGGTCTGCTCGAATAAACTGGAATCTGTGCTGCACCTGGTAGTACACGTCTTCATTCACAGTCCTGACTCTAACCTAGATGGATAAAAGCGATTGTTCCTTCACTTGAACTCCGCACCAGTTCATCTTTAGAATAGACAAAATTAATTGCTGACATTTCTTCAAAAACAAAAATAAAATTTCATGATCAAGGTTACTCAACCCTAGATGAAAACAAACCGATTTATTTCTTCACTTGAACTGAAAATGAATTGGTTGAACAGAATGAACAGAAGAAAAAATATTTCCGTGATAAACGTTATGAAACAGTCCTAATACGTGTTCAATTCAACTCACCAATAACGCCTCCTGGAAAAAACTCCTGGCCAATCCGTCGACATCTTGAGGCCATGTGTCACTCGTCATAACCACTTGTTTATCAGTTCGAACATTCGCAAATGTATCCGAAATGTTCTTTTCGAACCCCTTCTCAAGCATCGTTTCCACTTCATGAAAAACGAGATAGGAAACGTCCGACACTATCAAGTTCTGGCCGGGCCTCTTGAAAATCAGCTGACGAATATTGTTCGGCGTCGAGATCAAGATGTGGATATGCTTTAGATCATCAGCAGTCGAGTCTTCGTCTACAACACAGCTCTTGATTCTCTTGCACGGAAGCGTTTTCAACTGAGATTCTATTTCAAAAGCCGATTCTCGCGTAGGAGTGAAAATAACCGCGGTTGGAGAAGGTATTTCTCCATGTTCCTTCTTCTGACCGCCAACATGCACCTAATCGAAACCCGGAAATTAAAGTAGAGAAAATTTCGAAGTTTCGGGAGCCATCAGCAAGCTTCACCATGGTTTCGAAATTATTGACATGATCCCACAAAAAGCCGCATTTAATGATGAAATTCCAGAAATGATCGTGTTCACTATAGTACTTTTCAGATTTACTTCCAGGCATCTCTTGAATCGCATAAAAATATGCAGTATTTACGCAAATACCACGTGCAAATTTCTTCAATTTCTTCTGGAAAATTGAGACAGAAAAGTGGGATGCGCGAAGTATTTGGGTTTACAGTTTTCAAAAAATGAAAAAAATCATGAAGCCACATTGATGTGAGTCAAAAGTTAGTCCCAGGCGAAAAATGGATAGAAAATTACTTGGAAACAATGCTGATGCAATTCTTTACGCTCTATTATTTGAAACAAGGTTTTACAAATTTTGGTTTTAAAATTTGTGAGAGAATTTCGATTTTCAGCCAACAAAACCTGGTGTGTGCGCCTCATGCGGTGATGAGCGTTGGTGCAAATTTCGTGCAAAAAAAAATCAAAATGCAAGACTTACTCAAGGATGCGTGGTATTTGAGTAAATACTGTACAACATGAACTAAGCTGAACCTATCCTAAAACTATCATCAAAAAACTCAAGCATAACTAATACTGTACTGTATCAAATTACAGGTGCTCAGGCTTTCTGACACCCATGGCCCTTTGATGATTCTTTTAAAACGTGAAATGCCCTTGATTAAAATTAACTGTCATCAAAAAATTGAAACTTCCCGACTTTAACTCGAATTGCAGGAACGACAGCCCTGGTATTTCACCCTTCTTTTTCTATTCATTCGTTTCTTTTTCAAACTTTTTCAGTCACTTTAAAACAAAATTCAAGCCCCATAAGAACTCGACGGAAAATGAACCCAATTTCCATGATACACGACGATCAGAAAAAAAAATACGTACCAAAACGGAAAGTAGAACGGCAGTAGTCTTTCCAATACCGCGGTTTCCGACGACCAGCAAGTCTTTTCCGGATAACAAAATCGGCAAGATTTGAGATTGAATCGGCAACGGACTAACAAAGTCATCCACCATTTTCTCCAACAACTCCGGAAACGGCCCGAGGGCATCTTCAAACGTTTCCACGGGATTTGGTATCGCTACCGCATACTGACCGTAGGAATCGTACACGCGAATATTTCCGTTGGCGGCGCGGAAGTCACGAGCCACTTCCGGTGATTGATCGCTGACTGATTCAGTTTCTAAAAAAATGTTTTATTTTTTTATTTCAAAGGATTTTCGCTCATCTCTGATTGGTCGTCTGATTTCGGCACGGATTTCGCAAAAAAATGTGCAGTGCTGTTTTAACATTCGTACGAAAAATGCACCATTAATCACTTTTTCAGCAACATTCATGAAAATAAACACATTCGTCAACTCAAAAATTTTAAATCCTCGATTTTGTCACTTTTTTTTAAATCAAGAGAAACAGCCACTTGAGAACATTGAAAACCTTTCGCAAAATATTTATGCCTTGCGATATCTCGCAGAAAATCGTGGAAAATCTTCAACTCTTGATTGAGGCACTGGTGGCCAAAATTTTTCTTCGTGAAAAAATCGTAGTGCGTTCGAAAATCTAAATCACGCAGGAAACTCACCCTCATAAAAGTTCTTCAAAACTTTCATTTCCTTTCGCGACAGATTTTCAACCATCGGATTCGTCGAATCGTAGTCGTCTTCCGGGGAGGATATTTGTTGATTCCCGCGCAAGTTATCCTTCCTGGGATCTTTTTCAGAAATCCCAGCAATTATCTTGACTTCAGCAATGGCTTTAGCTCGATTCTCTGCACTTCCTCGCACATAAATGGGTATTTCTCCGATTTCATTTGGGTGGTCCGTGTCCACACAGATCCGACAATTCGTCTCGCATTTCAGGGCACTAATCCGAGTACCTTTACGACCGATTACCAGTCCAACGACGGCTTCCGGGACAAACACTATTTCTTCTTCATCCCGAATTCGATTACGGTCGGTCCTTCGATGCATTTTTGAACCACGCAGGTCAGAACACGTCTTCAAGAATTTCTCGCGAATTCCGACCGCAAGCACATTAAAATACTTCTTCTATAAAGCTTCCAAACTTCTTGAAAAAAAAAACGGATAAATTAAGGATTAAATGAATATGCGACGACAATTGGATACGAGAGGCATTTTGGAAATATCCGTCTCTAATAGATGATATCTGGCGATCCAGCTCCAGCAAGTTAATTATTAGTATGATTTTTACGAAAAATTAATGCAAAAATAATGATGCCGCCAGAAAATACATTCGCGAAATGCTTCATTTTAATTAATTGCAACAGCGAGTAATTGAGGAAATACATCTCACACGTGGGCCAAAAATAAAAATCACGAAAAGTGAATCCTTCTGTGACTTTTGAACGCATATTTGAACAGTGTCTAAGGGTGGTGGAATAATCAGTTCTTCCCTAACCTTCTCTTTTTCCCCCAATTGCACAGTTGAGTGTTCAAAATTTAGTAAAGCATCGGCGTGAATCACCTTCCACTTTTGGGTTCACGAATGGTTAAAAATTAAACTGGTTATCGTGTTAGACAGTCGAAAAACTTGCTCAAAATGTGTAGCCAGAAATCATCCTAATTCACAAAGGCCTGAACATGATTCGCAGAGCCCAAAAATGAAAATAGAATACCACCGCTTTCGCGGGTCTTTGTCTAAGTGAGATCAGCGTGAAAAGACAGCGTATTTCCACGATGAAAGTTGAAATGCACTTCAAAAACTTATCACAACATCAATCCTCTCATTGAAACAAAGAAAACGCAACTCTCGCAATTGTCATGCTGCAAACCCGCAGAAACCAAAAATTGTTTGGTCCGGATTCACAAAGTTAATGAAATCCGAATATTGATGATCAATATCGGGAATTTCGGTGGCCGTTCCCGCCACCCCAACCACGGCCCCGGCCTCTGCCACCCCCGAACCTTCCACCTTCACGCTGATTTCGATCCTGCATTTTCTCAAATCGTTCCGCCATCTCAAGGAGACCTTTGGGTACTTCTTGCTCAGCGCTCTCGAGGATCTTTATGAGCTCTTTGGCATGACGCCAGTCCTGCGAGAACAAGATGAATTTTCCTTGCTCATATAGAGGTAATAAATCCCAGTTGCAATGGGACAATGTTTCTATCGGGTTGAGAAGAGCTTAATGTTTATTTCAAGTTTGAGTGCAGGCAAAAAGATTCTTTCCTTAGGCAACGGTTTTTTCGCATAATTAACCTTTAGCTCATGACATAGCATCATCCGGATGATTTCACAAAAAAGACAATAAGGAGATTTTTTCCTGACACTTCCAGGTTGAAAGATGGAATAACGATGAAAAATAAACAGGATTAAAAATACACAGGATTTTAACTTATCTTGTTAACTGAGTTTGAATCAGATTCATTTCAGTTGGGCGGCGAACGATCCGCATAGTTCCAAGTAGACAAAAAAAAGGTTTTTTTTCACCACAGTGGTGATCAAAACTAGCATTCGATGCATGAAAACATGAGGATTAATCGCTAGAAATCCGGCTTTTTCCAGAAAGAGGAGCTGACAAGAGTGCAGCACAATCTGCAAAGCCTGAGATTATAATACAAATAATTACCCGGCGAGTCATAAATGTCATGGCACAGCCAGTGCGTCCAGCTCTTCCGGTCCTTCCAACTCTATGCACGTATTCTTCAATGTCCTTCCAAGAATGAAAGGGAAAATGTCAAATGAAAGTAATAAAAAAAAAACACTATACAGTAGATGGAACGAGCAATAATATTTGAGCTAGGGAAACAAGCATTTTGATGAAGAATTATATGAATTTGTAATTTGTGGTATACTGGACTTTGAATTGCTTCTCAAGTGGGATGTCAAACTTGGTGGATAATGGTTCATTTGCCCAATTAGTCGTTCACTTCCTTTCAAAACGCATCAAGTTACATTTTTACTGCTTTTCTCTTTCCAGTGTCGACAAAGTAATAGCCAAATGGCTCCAGAAAATTCGACGTATGATAGCCTGAGCGGGAAAGCCTTCGAGTTAGACAAGTTTTTAATGAATTGTTTCAAAAGGAAATTGGACAGGGACTTGAAAAAATTTGACATTGGGACGTAACCGCATAAGAGAGGTTCGATTTATCGAAATTCAACTGTACTAAAATATAAAATGCTCCATCATATTACAAAAGAATCAGAAACGAAGTATTAGCGTAGACTTTAGAGCACATCATGCTTGGCAATCGGGATACCAACAAAAGACGTCCACAAGCAATAATTTAAAAGCGTAAAAAATGAACCTTGGGGAAGTCAAAGTTGAGCACGTGTGTAATGTCCACCACGTCAATCCCTCGTGAAGCCAGGTCCGTGGCAAACAAGATCCGTTCTTCCCCACACCGAAAAGATTTCAGAGCGGATTCCCGGTCCTCCTGGGAATGACCACTGTGTAGAACCCGGATCGGGACACCACGAAGCGCCACGTTCGACGCCATGTGGTTCACTGTATTCTTACGCCCGAAAAACACGATTGTCTTGTCCGTGCGGGAACGCTCGTTCAGAAAGTCATTCAGAAAATCCTCCTTCTCATCTTCTTCGACGATAGTGATTTTTTGTTCGACAGTGAAACAGGCGTGAAGATCGAGTGACCCAATGTAAACCTAGTGCGAACATCACGGAATTAAAATTCCAACACTGCAAATGAAACCTCGAAAATAAATATACGGTACAGTACATCGTCAGTGTCACGAGTGCAGAAAATGAAAGGGTTCTGTTCATTGTAAAAATCTAACCCATTAAGACAGGTGTCACCAGAATCATCCTATTTTTCATCAAGGTTCAAGTTTTTTCAGGTTATTTTGCAGTCGATTTCTGGATGCAGGCGACACCCTCTCGAAAAGTCGAGATATCAGACCCGCGGTGTTCGAAGTTGCCAGTGATTCTACTTTTAATCTACTTAGATGTCGCTACTAACATCTGACTTACAGGAGTCCATCCCCACAGGAGCGTTCTATCATGAATACAGCACAGTGGGACCCCAAGAAAGACAGAATTGGTGCTTGGACCTTGTCTTCATGTTAAAGTATGTTGGATCACATTTTTCAATAGACTTCAATGGGAACTTATTTAATTAATTCTCCAGTTCACTAAAAATTTTGAGTAAGTCCCCAAAATAAATTTTATAGAACTTGTTCTGAACTTGAAGATGCAGACAATAGCTGTGCCAAAGAAAACCATACAGATCTCTATTTTTTGGTATCAAAAGATGCTCAAGAAGCGAAGAACAAGAGCAAGTCTTGCTATAATGTGCACAGATAATGGGAAAATTCCAAAAAAGCACAGAATTTGCCTATTTTTCATGAGTTTGAGTACATTTTAAAATGCAATTTTTTTAAATTTCCGTGAACATGGTATAGCTCAATTTGCTCAAGAGATTTCCAATTTTGAGAAATGGAGAAGCGTCCGTATCTCAAGACATTGTTCGGATGATGGGGCAGATTTTCTGAATTTCCAGTGTCCCTAAGTAGAATCGTGTGTATGTCGGGGTCCCACAGTAAAAAAATAAGGTTAAAAAAAAAACTTACCATCAAAGGGTTCTTCATATAAGAGCTGGCCAACCGCCGAACGCCCTGAGGCCAAGTTGCACTCGTCATGACCATCTGCTTGTCAGGCCTCACGTTCAAAAACACCTTCCGGATTTCCCCTTCGAAACCCATGTCGAGCATTCGGTCAGCCTCGTCCAACACCAAGTAGGTCACGTTCGTTATGTCGAGATTCGGTCCCCGTTCGGTGAACACCAAGTCACACAGTCTTCCCGGGGTCGCAATCAAAAGTTCGACCCCTGCGAGATTTTCCACTTGATTGTATCTCGCTGTTCCACCAATGACGACCGCGCTCTTGATATTGCGGTACGAATACTTTTGAACTTCTGAATCTATCTGAATGGCGAGTTCTCGAGTTGGTGCAATGACGATGGCTGAGGGACCAACTCGCTGACTTCGGGGAGTAGACTGGCCTTCTATATGAATCTGATAAAATTATAGAAAATTTCGTTGTTGAAATTCCACCTCCACATGAGCACGTAAAATGATCAGTAAAAAAATGAGCAAGCGAACAAAAGGAACACGAAGCCAAAAAGCAAGCATCAAAGAAAAAGAATTCAAACGAAAGTTTAAAAACCCCAAGATAAGTTCTTGATGCAGGTCCTTCACGGTTTGCTTATTTCATTTATCGCTGTTCAGTGCCCTTGCTCTTTTAATGTGCGTAATAAAATGCAAGCATAAGAACGAAGTAAAAATAAATCAGAATAGATTATTGCAAGTTTGCAACTAGATCTTTCGTAAAATTGCTATTTAATGTCACGCCATTACTTTTTTGATACTCGCTAATTTGTGCTTGCTTTTCAAGCCTAGAATAAAAAAGCTTGTTGGTTGTCGAAAAAACACGAATCGACGACCCCCAATTATTTAATTTTAGCAACAACACAAATGCTTCTTACCAATGCAGGAAGAAGGAATGCCAATGTTTTCCCAGTTCCCGTTTGAGCAACTCCTATCATGTCTCGACCCGACAATAAAACGGGCCAAGCTTGACACTGAATGGGGGAAGGTTTGAGGAAGCCTTGCTTTCGAATCTGCTCCAATACTTCCGGATAAGATGCAAACGCATCTTCAAATGTGCGTACTGGGTTCGGCGCTTCTTCGGTTTCCTTTTGCTCAGAATCAGTTACCTGCAATGAAACACTGAACGTCAGAAAAAAGTGGTCATTCTAGAAATACATGGGGATTTTCGCGCAACTTCAGCCAAAAATCATTTCAGCAAGTTTTGAAACATAACAAGGAAAATCGTACCAAAAGATGGTGGGACAAATGTGAAAGACGTCTTTCTCAGTTTCCTGCCTTCCATTGGAACAAATTCCATGATTAAATGTTCATAACCCACTGAAATATTATAATTTTTGCTGATTTGGTCGCGCGTGAATCACCATGCAAAAAAAAAATAAAATGAAGGACCATGAATTATGAAAGGGGGTGAAAAAATGCCTGAATATTGTTGTTTTCGAGTCTGAACTTCTCAACCGACTCCTTACTCGCACTGGCCACCGACTCCGCCTCCACGTAGAACATCTTCAACACTTCCGACTTCCCAGCCCAACGCTTCTTCTCATAAATCTTCTCTTCCACGGCAATTCTTCCCCAGTCAATCTTCACGTCTTCGCCATCATCGGAATCCGCGACAGGCGGCGGCTTCGGAGCACTTTCTTCGATAATCTCCTCAATTTTCGCCACTGCCTTCCTCCGATCATGTTCATCTCCCACGATTCTCACCAACACTTCTCCATTACGATTCGAACGATCCCGATCTATATTGAGACGGCATTTCGTTTCGTCTTGCAATTCGCGGATTTTGGCACCGCCTCGACCGATGATCTTCCCAACAACTGTATCCGGAACGTACATTTCTTCTTCATCGCGACGGGAACAGGATCGTTTGGAATCCGAACGATAGTCTCTCTGCTCGTGACGATCAAAAGATGAGTAACTACTGTCGTAATTACGTCGAGTCATGACGAGTGAGTTCCGTCGATCGGAGAATCAACTCCACTTATCCGAGTAGGAATTAAGATCGATTCAATCCTGATATGCGAAATTGTTTCACACACACGAAGAAGCAAATCTAGAGAGGGAAAAACAAAGAAGAGCATTAGACGTATACATAATCAAGCGGCATTTCGCACGAACGTGACACTTCGTCTGTTTCTGGACGAAGTTTAACCTCGTTAATTACTTTAAGAGATCATAGGACACATCGTAATTTAGCACAGCAATCATTTTCTGGTAGACCAGTGTTCCTCAACCCGTGGTCCGCTGGAAATTGTCTGCAGCACAATAAACCAAAAAAGGAGCGATGACGTCTGTTATCTTTTATCTAAACTGTCGGAGAGACAATGGCAATTGAAATTATCTGATGAAAAAAGGAATTTGGCTTTTCTGCTCATAACGTTTCTTATAAATTTCCACCCGCTGAAATAAATTATTTCAATTTTTAAATTCTGAGAAACCTTTCTTCAAGCCAACTCTTTTTTTTTTAAGACATTCTAGCATAGCTGCTTCGTTAGTTCTTTTGCGATAAATTTAGAAAATTTCTAAATGACTGCCATAAAGTTTTTCAAGCAGAAATGTTTTTAGTTTACAATTTTTTTTTATGAAACTTAGCCAGTCTGCAGAAAATTTTTGGGAAATTTGCAGGTCTGTGGGCCCAAAAAGCTTGGAGAACACTGTCGTAGACAGCTCGCAAACTTCCGTCAACAGAAACAAACACAAAGAGTTCACTGAAAAACAATTTTTGCGAGAAGAAGTCAAACACAACCCAAATCCGACGTTTTTAATTTCCTCACTACGCCGCGAAGGCCTGAACTTTTTTCCCTGCCCTCGCTTCCTCAAGAGGTCAGGATTCTTCCGCATCAACAGCAACAATGCCGCAATGTATGTACAAAAACAAAAATTCCACAAAAAAATTGAATATTCCTCGCGGAATTTTTACTGCCCACGAATTCTGCTCGATGACTACGTGACTGGAAAACCGAACACCGAAAAAACTCAACATAATGTCCGCAAACAAATGAAGCACAGTACTTCGATTTCTCTTTTTCACAACGCTTAAGCGCGACTACGACGAAAATCAAGAAGAAAAAAAACCACTCGCGTAACCTTCTGGTCAAACACAACTGCTTGACTAGCAATAAACATGATTTGACTCCAATAAATAGGCAAGAATCGGGATCTTTTGAACTATTGGCAACATTTTAGCACACGATTTCTTCAGGCACCATTCAAGGCTCTTCGTGGAGCTTCCCGCCAGTGGTTCACCCTCACAATTTTAAATCGTGGTTTGTCAAAAGACCAGACGGTAATCGGCTTTCTTTAAGCTTATCATAAATGAACAACATTCTAATGAACAACAAATACTTTTTTCCCTTGACGATACGCATGTTTCGTTTTTCATCGTACTCCGATTCCTCCGAAAACACACTGGCGAATACACAGGCACCGAATCGCATCATTCGTCCCCCACAAAAAAACAGGCACCATTTTCGTACAGGATTGAGCAGCCAGGAAATGGACGCGAACGTTTCAGTTACCATAGGAAAAAAAAAGGCTGCCGAAAAACTGCAACCCTGAAGGCACCGTGTTGAACGCGCGTGAGAATACTACTGTACTTCTTCAAACGGCGCGATTCACCTCACACACAAAAATGTTCATCGGGAAGCTTTGTTGCTCAAAAGGCACACAATGATGGCAAGACTTTGTACGGCATTTCAACTTTCGTGCTTGTTTTAGAAAAAAAACCGTTTGCGATCACGAAACAAGATTTACCATATATTTACGCAAATGCGAGATGCCGCTGATTTCAAGAAGCGCTTTATTATATAAGGTCCGTCAAAACAAGGTTCGCTGAGTAGTTTAAGGAACTGCGTTTCAAAATACGCCAGAAACTACAGTATTTATTCAGATTCAACAACTCATTCAGGCATTTCTAAGACAGTAAATACGTAATAAAATAATGCAACCAAAAATTCGATCTTGCAAGAAATACAATAAAAATCATATAAATAAAAATGGACTCAGCCAAAATAGATTCCGGAGGCTTCCTCGCAAATTAATCTTGAATTCTCAGCACAATATTCTACTGTAAACTCAATGTAGGGTCAGATCAAAATTTGACTTAATCAGTCAATGAGATAAAACTTCTACGAATGGGAGCATATTTCTCGAACCAACACTCTTATATTTTGCGCGTAAATCTGTAAGGTACCCTGTTTTTTCAAAATTAAAATCCTGGATTTGCTTCCCACATTTGCGTAAATTCGGTACAAATTTGATGCCATCTGAAGAATAATAAAAAATTACACTGGAATTTTACACGCATGTTACCCAAGATCTTGTCATTCCAAAGCTCCAAGATCTGGAAAGGAAAAACTTGAAACCGTTTGAACCTTCCAAAAATGTTTCAGGAACTGAAACCTACGATTCTGCACAGTTGCCACTGTCGGGTAACAAACATGACGTCCGTTGAATGCACCCATCAATCAATTCACTAAGACATGCCACATGAACGTTTCTGACCATCGAACTACGAGATAAAAATCCAGGACCACCGCATTCATACAACACACAAATAACACAGCTGCTATCTTCAACAACCGTAATCCGGGAGAGAACAAAACACTCCCATTAATCTTTGGGAGTCTGAAAACTAAACGACTAGAGCTCGATCAAAATAAAACCACACTTAGACTCAGGAAGCTCAATTATCGACTATAATTGAAAAAAGGTGAACCTACATTTTTGCGAGAAACGATTAAGAAGCATTTTACAGAAGTGTAGGGACATCTGATACTTCTAAAATATGGAAAAGTAAAAGAAACGGAATCCTTCTGAGAATCGAGAAAAACGCGTTTTAAAATTGTCTTAGATTAAAATGACCATGAATCAATTTTTTTTTTTAAACAGTAGATTCCCACGATACATTATAAATGACTTCACAAGTTGAAAAATCCGAAGATGAATCTAATTTTTACAAGATTACAACTTCTCACTCGTAGAACGAATTTTTCTTTTGAATACTATAGAAAACCTTTTTTCGAGGATTCAACCCGAAACGATTTTTAACCGATCAGGAATTGGTAGAACAAACGTGAACACAGCAATTTTTCTCCATTTTCAATAACATTCCCTATAACTTAATTTGGATATGAAAAATATCAGGCAAAGTTTTCAGAATGAAATGAATAAGGGAAAATTGCTAAAAAAATTTCCGAGAGCATAGAATTTCTCGAGAATTCGAAGACTTCTGAAAATATCAGAAAATGAAACAAAGAATAAAGAACTCGAACGTGTAAAGAGGGGGAAAGCACTGTACAAAGGAAGAATGATGATTCCTCACTCGCTGTCACGTAGGTCCACCTTTTCTCATTATATACCGCTCATTAAGACACGATTCTTCTCATTTTCATTCTGCACTGGCCGCGGCCTGATTAGCCCGACACGTCACCTGATGATTTAGTAAATTGTACCTGCGCGTGTAGGTCGACTGGCAATATTTGCAAGAGAACTTGACGTGCAGATGCTGGGTCTCAATGTGCTGCTCCAGAGTGTACTTGGACTTGAACACGAAAGAACACTCTTTGCACATCCAGCGCCGTTCTTCCGAGGTGCTGAGCTTGATGATGTAGCTTTCAACCTTTTCCTTGGAAACCGGGGCTTGTTCCAGTTGGTCCATAGCGTTTTCTTCCACTTCCGGCTTTTTGGAGATGTCCTTCTCGACGAACTCCAATTAGTACCTGCGCGGGACTACTGGACCGTACCGTCGGCAGAACCAGTGACATTCGAAACTTTAGCCCTCCTCCAGCCCTCAGCGTCCAAATAGCCTGCCGAAGTTTCGAGCCGAGTACGTTTGCGCAACGCTGCAGAAGTATTTTTCGTGCTGCTTAAGACCGACTTTGCTGAGGCATCGACGACCACATTTTCGACATGAGAATCCTTTCCCATCCGTGAAACACCTAAAACCGACATAAAGCGTCAAAATAATGTTTTTCAGCAAGAAACAAATCAGATCAATACACATTTCCCTAGAACAAAAAGGGAGTTAAAATGTTCCGCTATAATTCGAACAAGACCTGAATCACTGGAGCATGTGATCGCGGGAAGAAGCACATCAGAAGAGCAATTTTTGAATTAGCTTATGCAAAAAAGAGTAAGTCTTGAAAGGGACAGTGCACAAAAGCGTAGGTAAACTAAAAAGCCAGCATTTGAATTCTGAAAGATTCAGGATTGGGTAGGAAATCGCAGGTTAAAAAAAATGTTCTGGCGAAAGAAAAATTGAAAAAATAATAATAATAATGCATAACCCCGAGGATATTCAAGAAAAAAATAATTTCCAGTATTAAAAAATCTCAAAATTTGTTTAGACTTTAGAAAATAAATTCCAAAAGCCATAGTACCTTCAATCTGAAGAAAAAAAATCTTCACTTCAGCCATGGTGAATCACAGGGCAGGGCACCTTAACCCCAATTGATAATCATGATTACACCGCAATAATTAGCATGAAGACTTACCTCGCTTGGTGTTTATCAAGGGCGAACTTCCAACGGAAAGTCAAACTGCATTTCGGACATGGAAAAGACGGTTGTGAGGGATGAGTAACGATGCCACGGATCTTGGCTGGACACGATTCCCTGCGATGTTTATTGAGCGAAGACTTCCAGCGAAACTTGGCAGCGCACGTTGAGCAGGAGAAAACCTGAGGCTCTGACATGTGGGCGATCTCGATATGGTTCTTGCAAAGGGTTGAACGTGTCATGAAGAAGGGCGTTTTGGGCGTGAAGGTCGCTTTGGGCAGTAGGGACAAGGGTTGGACGCAAGTTATTAACTTTTTAATTGCTATATTTATAGTTTATGGGGTTGTATACTAGGGAATTCTTTCATGAAAATCAGCTAATGGATTTCAGGGTGTTCACACTTGCATGTTGATCTAATGCTCCGGAAAAACAATCTAGTGTTTAAAAAAATGAAGTCCGGAGTTGAACTAAATAAATTCACGCCATTTTTTTAGTCGCTTCCTGACCAAAACAAAAATTAATACTTAGAACAAAAAGCCTTCGACAAGGATGAGAAATCAATGTCTGTTACAGTAATTGAAATCGTCAAGTAAAATATTGAACGCGTAGAAAATGTGTCTTTTACCTGTAATCGACGACATCTTTTCTTTAAGTTAACGTTCAAATTTTACCGAACTGCGTCATGCTTTCGACTCTTAGGAGAAAAATTGTTTGAAATGCTCAAAATTCACGGGATCTACCAATACCAAAAGCAATTCGAAAAACTAACCTTGATTATGTTCACAGCAACCTCACGTTGTATTTCTTCATCCGGAGGCGGCTTGCCACAATGGTGCGGCTTTTCGGACCCAACTTGCACAGTACTTCTTCCCGCAAAACCCGCACTTCCAGCGAAACCCGTCATCCCTGTTCCCAACCTGCGTTCAATAATTGAAAAATTAACGATATAAATATCAAATACCCCAACATATGATAGGAATTCTTTCATGAAAATCAGCTAATGGATTTCAGGGTGTTCACACTTGCATGTTGATCTAATGCTCCGGAAAAACGATCTAGCGTTTAAAAATATGAAGTCCGGAGTTGAACTATATAAATTCACGCCATTTTTTAGTCGCTTCCTGACCAAAACAAAAATTAATACTTAAAACAAAAAGCCTTCGACAAGGATGAGAAATCAAGGTCTGTTACAGTAATTGAAATCGTCAAGTAAAATATTGAACGCGTAGAAAATGGGTCTTGTACCTGTAATCGACGACATCTTTTCTTTAAGTTAACGTTCAAATTTTACCGTACTGCGTCATGTTTTCGACTCTTAGGAGAAAAATTGTTTGAAATAGAGTTTTAAGTGCCCTAGATGGTTATGGTTTTCGTTAAGCTTTTTGATTGGAACTAATACAAGTGTCGTTGGAGTGCAACATAAAGAAGTAGGCCTCCGCCGAACGGTGTTACCACGCCGAAAAGCCCAATCTTCGGAAAATTGCCGCAGCAATTTTGCCGCAAGTGCTTACGAAGTAATTTCGGTGTAAGGAAGCCAGTGCTGCAACGATGGCAGCTATTTTTCGCCTTATTTTGCCGTCGTTCTTCTGGACTGAGGGTAGAGCAGTTGTATTTTTCGTGCTGCATACGGGTGTACGCAGTTGTGAATTGCTTGAGACAGCGAGAACACTGGGTGCGATATGCGTCGTCCAATGACGACTCCGAGCTTGCGTGTTCACTGAGCGCCGAAGTTGATGGTTCACTGAATGGAAGGCCATTTTCGACAAAGGGAATAGTGACGAACGGATCCAGTTCCTGGACCATTTCTTCGCTTTCATTCTTCGGCAGATCGTCTTCAATGTCGGTCAACGGTTCATCCTTGACGGAATCCTCATCAAGTTTTTCATCAAAATTCTGAAAAACATAAACACCAAGTATTTTACACCACTTTGAAGATTCGGGCAATTCCGTAGATATACTCACGTCTGACGGCGAAAGAGGATCGAAGACTTCAACCGCTTCAAATCCAAGGATCTCCAGCTTGCGACACAAGGCGACAAAATGTTCGACATCTTCATGGGGCAAATCCACGAAGCCGGCGTAAATGAACTGAATAACGATGGCAATTAGGTGTTCTGAGGCACCATCTAGAACACAATAATTTGTCACAGAGGCTTGGCTCGTGAGAGAAAGCACACGGCGGAAATATTTGCTGCAAGAACTGAGGATCACCCGGTGTGCAGGAATCACATTGTGACCGCAGGTCAGGAAGACATCCGTGAAAGATGTATCAGAGCGAAGATCGCGGAAGGCTTCAATATGATTTAGCTTGAAACTAGTCATAGCCCGTGGTACACAAAACAAAAGTTTGCGGGCAACAGAACGGAAACAATACAGTTCATCCCTGGAATGAATTTAATATTCATCAAACATGAACATGATAACACACGCAATTATCCGGGAGCATCTCCTCGACACACCAGGGAGGCATTACTTGCCCTCATAACTAATACATCGTCCGAACAAGCCAAAAAACGGTATCACGGCACAGTATCTTATGATAGCATTCCACTTTCTATTCATGACATTCGCACAAGACAACATACGTGAAATATTGAACATTCGCAGCACGCTAACCATCTTTCGTAACTCGCAGTCGCGTGGTCGTTCTGTCACGTAGGATGATCGCCATGTTCAATCAACCGACCAGGAGTAGACGCAGAGAAAAACCATATTTTCTTTCACGGTACAGTACAGTATTGTATTACAGTAGTATACTGTACTGTATTGTACTTTTCATAAGTGGAGCCCCAATTTCAAAACACCATAACATGCGGAACTTTCCCAACTTTTTGCATGGTAGATGATAGAAAGCATTTTCCCCATGAATTGCAATGTAAAAAAGGGTTGTAGAATATCTATCTACCAGCCGTGTCCAGGGATTATTTTAATTTATTGTCCATGATGCGTGACACTTCATTTCAATTTTCTTTGGTTTTGGTAAGCCTGAAGATTATTGCAGGCTTCAACTCCTGATAAGATGCAACAAAACCGTGATCATCACAGCTCCTTACCAGATAAATTTGGCCAACTGATCCAAGGTCACTGATTATAAAAGAATTTTTTGAAAAGTATAGTAAGCAGGTTTGGGAAAATAAAAACAAAGCATGTGAAGCTACTGCATGACAATGGAGATTCTCTAAACAAATGAACCCACCAACGATCATAGCATTCCAAACGTGTAAAAAGAATGCTAATTCAGCTAACGAACCTTGACATATGGGCAACGAAAAGAAATTCCTCGCAAGAAAGTGTGAAATGTCCACATATTAATCTTTGAAAACTGTATTCATCGAACTCTCAGTATTCCAGAAGTGATCAGCAAAGAACCCAAACTTCTGTAATAGAAAGATTTCTATTAATCCTATATACTACTGTAGAGCTTTTATAAAATGTTTATATGGAAAAATAAGGCTCAGGTTAAAATAATACTTCAGGGAGGCAGTCTTTGATTCCTTGCAAGGATACACATGTCCTTCGAGAATAATTTCTGTATTATATACAATGCCCAGTAAATTGTGGTCTGGGAACTTGAAGTTCTACACTACAGAGAAAATTGCTTTTCAGTTCCTTGTATCTTTAATTTTAATGTCATTATATCCTTAAAATGAGACAAGATTACCTTTACCCAGGAATGACGTCATACGCATAAATATTGAAGGAAATGAAAGAAATTTCTAGGGTTTCATGACGCCGACTTCAAACACTCGCACAGTACATCTCAGTAGTTCTGCACCTCTGGGTATAATCGGGAGCTCTAACGTCATTTCATGACTTTAGAGATCCCAAATTGTAAATGAAGGAAGTAGACTTGTTAAGATACTGTATATTCAAAGTTTTGTTTGTCCAATCTGCAGCTCAGTTGTACTGAGTTTGAGAGTACTGTATACTCCTCAACTAACCCTTCAGGTCATTTTTGACGCTTATCCGTAAGATCATTTCAGTTTGACGAAGCGTTGTAAACACCTTGCAACAAACACAAGAGGCTGCCGAAAATCCGGTATATTTGGTCCCAAAATCATAAATTACAGAAATTCATAACACGGGCCATTACACACATGGATCCAAAGATCGTTTTTGATCTACGGCGAGCCAAAAAATAAATGCTCGTAATTAAACAAAATGCAAGGAATCATATCATCAGTGATTACGAAAATCATTATGACCCTCTCAAGTAATCTCGTTCATGCCTATGATGAAGATCATACCATCACAGGCACTGATCATGGAGAGATTGACAAACCTTCTCGTCAAGCTCTCGTGATCTTTTCATTAGGAATTGTTCAGAAAAAATTTATTCGACACAACCTTTCTTAGAAAAAAAAAATGAAACGTTCACATGAGGAATGAGTCTTCAGAGGATTCTGCTTCATTGTGGTCGTTCTTCTTCTCCTCCTGCTTCTTGGCAAACCTGGAAAATCGACTTCCATAATTTAAAAATCCAACTCAACCTGACAAGTATTTGAAATTTTCACCTTTGAATTTTACGTTTCAAAGACTCGGCTGATGGAAGCTTCGCAAGCGCATCTCCCGGGATTCCAGATTCCATGATGAAATTCTGAATGGCATCCTTTGACTGAATAGAACCTGGACTCTCGGCGACAGCACGTTTTAGAGCGAACACAAGTTTTTTCGCTGTTATCCTCTCATAATCAGGCGGGTGACTGTGTCTGGAAAGTCGAATTTTCTTCAAGATCTGGTCAATCTAGAAAAGTAAGACTGTAAAACTCACCCAGGATCCCGCGTCAATACTCGCGTTCTCGTCGGATCAAGCTGAATCCTACCTTTGCACTGCATCATTCGGTGCTGAGAACACCTCCAACTCGAGACTCCACCTGAAAAAAAAATATGTCATGAAATTTCCAAGTCAATCAACACATTTTACAAAAAATTAAAGACAGATTAGGCAGCTTACTCCGCAACAACTTGTCGGTTTGATACTGGTAACCACCAAGAACCAAGCATTCGTTGTTCTTTTGCGTCGTTATGATTTCGAATGTCTGAGGCGGATCCGAATAATCGACGTCCTGAAAAATCAGAGGATCATTGCTATAATGTAGAAAAAGGCATCACCTCATAACACAAACCTCTTGTGAGGCTTCGTTTCCAAATGCAGCATCCTCAATGGCATCTACGTCTGCACTGAAGTCCTCCATTTTGATCTGAAAATTACAAAATCAACTTTAATTTCTTCGCGAAGTAAATCTGAAACGATGTGAGCATAAACGGGGCTCATTTCAACCAAAAATAAAATTGCTTAACCTCATTCGATGCTTCAAAAGTCTAGCCTGAATGCTCTGAAGAATTATAGGATGCTTTTGATTCGAGGCTTACTATGGCAAGGAAAGTGACATGGTTACCTCGAAACGATTTGTGCCTTGGGAAGGGAATATTCGGACGAATCAGCTTACCTCGCCAATAGATTCAGAAGCTCCAAATGAGGAAGAACGGCCAGTCTCCGAGGCACGGGAAGGGCGAGAAGCAACAAAATCCGGATCCTCATTCTTTTTCTCTCGTCGACCTCTTCGACCAGTTTCGGGCACCTCGGAGTAATCCAAAATCGGACGCTTCCTCACGGAACGGCGGGAGGGACTTGGTTCGATTTCTTGACCTTTAATCAACAACTTACGCTTCCCAAAAGACCGCGTAGACTCGACAGGATGATTACTGCCTTGCTTCAGCCCACGAATTTCCAAACGCGACGCCAGCCGCATGAAATCGTCCAACTGCAGCGAATTAATCACAGCTTCTCCAGAATACATAAAATCAACTACAGCACTCATGACATCCGCATCGGAATCCAACGTGATGATGGTCTTCGGAGACGAAATAAACCCTTGCGCTTCAATCCGACTGAAGAGGCGATCAAAGAAAGCAGATGCTGCAGCAAGAACATTCCGGTGCGCGGAAATGAAGCATTCACCGGACGCGAGGTACACATCTGCGAAACGGTCTTCACGACGAAACTTTTCGAGGTACTCAAAATTGTCCGACGAGTGGCTCGCCCACTGAATCTCCAAGTTTTCCCGCATTTCGTCTGTAAGTGGATCGGCAACATGATTAGAGTAACTCATCATAATCCCAAGAACGATGGAATTTCAGGACTGAAGGACACGCGGACCGGCTGACACTATCTGAAAATCGATCTGATGGAATGGGTTCACGTTTGCATCTCCAAAACACAGCGCGAGAATTCCAAGGAACGAGAATAAAAAAGTGTTCCACCGCGGAGAATATAACCGTACTACTGAAAGTAACACGGAAATTAATCTTTCGCTTCTCCATGTAAAAAATCAAATTTCAGTCGGAAATGGCACGATTCACGTTCTTTCCGACGATTATTTCGCGATTTGCCCGCAAATGCGTAAGGCATGGAGCACGCTGCGTTTCAGTCTACGAGCGTGGTTTCAGCCTGTCAACACAGGAAAGTCAACTCATGTCTAGAGGCACGCTTACCTTTGGTGGAGGCATCCGTCATGAACGACCCGTCAGATTAAATCTTTTATCCACTCATCATTGAATCAACAACTGCAACTATGCTCTTCGACTCATTGTTTGCAAATTTTAATTGGTCACACATAACATTTTAGGAATGAATATTTTATGCACTCTGAAAATCAAATTTTAGAAATAAAAACATTGCCTTTTGTTGCTGAGTACTGTACAGTACCATCAAAATCTCTAATAAGACTACTGTACATATATATCCTTCCGCATTGTACAGGGGTTCTCTGAAATAAAATTCGCTCTGCAATAAATAATTTATTGTTCCCTTGAGTTTCATTGTGGAGCTAAGTCCAACTGTATGTATCCTGCAGCACAATGAAGTCGAAAAATTGTTGTAGTTCAGGGTTGCAATATAAAAATTCAAGAGACAAAAAAAATTGTTTTAGAGAACTCCAACACAACATTGAGAGAACTTTATGGATGGGACCAAGAAAAATTTGCTTAACAGAGGTAGTTGTTATTGAAGACCAGATTTTTGAAGAGGGAGAGAGTCCACTGTACTGTACACTGTTTTTGAATACCTCCCATGCATGCCAATCCCGTGCTTCAGAAATGCTGAATGAAGTCACACAAGAAAATTGCTAATTTTTAAATTAAATTGGTTGAAGGTCAAAGAAAAAAAATTATGTTTGTCAGATAACTTTTAGGCTATGTTACATACATCAACTTGGATTTTCATTTCCCTATTCCTCTGGTGCACTTAACATACGTCACCTTTATCAATAATAACCCTATATATATACATCCTTCGCCCAAAGATATTAAATCGTGACGAATAAAAACATGAATAGAAAACGCCATGTTTTGAAATTCATAGTTTCTATTTCTCCTCACAACGATGAGTGCCCGTAAAAGCTGCGAGCATCGCATCGGAAAAAATAAAGACAACTCAAGTCAAGGGTGATGCTGCTACAACGTTTCACCCGTTTAAAAGCAACATCTTTTCGTATACTAGATTGCTCAGGAATTCCTGTGCTCGCGCGGGACGGATCAAAGACAACATTCCCATTGTCCACTGACAAGGGCATATTTCGCGGTCGATTTTTACTCAAAAAGCACACGCAGTATTATATATCACACGGTTGTTACACGGCGAACGAGCTGAACTCATTCAAAAACAAAGTTTTCAGCAGCACCAAGACAAGAGGAACTTCGCGAACATTTTTCTCACTTCCATCAGTGTGTAAATATTCGCTTATTACAGTTAAAATTTCCAAATTTAGATACAAAGATAAGGAGAGAGAAAAAAATAAGTGCGACTCTGCGGGTACACATCCACACCCTCTCACTGAATATGTTAGCACATGGCATGTTCACCTCCAGTGTTTAATCACTCGTATATTTCATCTAATGGAAATTTTTGTCCCACACGAACCGATTTTGGCAGCCTTCAAAAATTATCAGAGAAATCTGCTGCTGACCGATCAACGATTTTAAAAAAAAATTTTGACAAAGGGTTGCAAATTTATGAAAATATTCGTGAAAAACCTTTCCTTTTGTAAGGAAAAAATATTTTTACTCCGTCTTCTTAGTGTTCATTCGCACAAAAAATTACTTCAGTTTTCTTGAAACGAATCAGTGGGAAATGAAATCTCATCTCGTTTGCAATAATACGTATTCAGAAAATATTTTCAAGGAAGCGAAAAAGTATTTCTTCTATGTATATCACAGGTCATGCGCACTCTCGATTTAGGGAATGCATAAAATTTGTTTGTGGAAAGTGAAAAAAACTGGTGATATAGATGTCACGCTCATGCATATCCAGGTAGATGGTTGAAAGGGGAAAGATGGCGGTCCTACATCAAGAGGCAAAAACAAATAAATGTGGTGGAAGTGGGAAAAACATTCGCAAAGCAAAAAAAAAACACAAATCATGTGAGCAACAACAATTTTTGCAACACGCATCGAAGTTTAGGGAAGGCAAGAAGCTCGACGATCAATGCACCAAATCATCTCATCATCGCGATGAGGACGAGGGGGGATCTCTCATCATGATCCCCCGCTACTCTCTCTCTCTCTCTCCCATTTTCTTATTTCTCAAATCTCACCGCCCCAAAAACTCACAGATTTAGTTCCCGCCTTTCAAACCCAAACAAACAAACAAACGCACCCATTCGACTCCATCTCTATCGAACAAGAAGTTTTAGCTGCCTCTTGAAGGATACTTTTCCGCCACTCATCTTTCACGAGCTTCTGGCAGAGCGGAGCACCGGAATTCCGATAAAATTCCGCGCGCTAAAAAAAAAAAAAAAATTTCTACATACACGAAAAAAAATCGAACACAGAAAAAGGACGAAATTCGTAATAGTCCGCGTTCGGCGGAATTTAAAAAAATGTTTTTTAGCACTGCGTTAGGGACTCTGAGGATTCAAGAAGCGTCCACATGCCCATTTTTCTTTCTCTCTACGACACTACAAGCAGCAGAAAAAGATATTGTCAGCAGGAAAAATATTAATAAATAAGTAGCTTCAGTTACTTTGACAATCAAACAGGTCAACGATTACGTCAAACTCAGGAAAAAAAAAAAACAAAATAAAACCCTCTCGCAATATTTACATACTCGTTTAAGCTTCCCATAACGAGATACGAATACAAATTGTTTGGCCCAATCTGGAGTGTATCGTTTTGTATCACAGGCGACTCAAGTTCTACAAAAAAAGGGACGAAACGGACTACTTGAGGATTCTCGCGACTTTTCAGGTCAAAGCAACTAAAAAAGATATCTCTTCTATATAGTCAGAAAATAAATCAATAATGCCTGTTCTCACTTGAACTCGAATCTCGGCATTAGAATTATTAATATTGAGCAGTTTCAGGATACTTCGATGAGCCCATGTGCTGATGACAAACTCAAATCGAGTCCAAGCATTCTTTTTCGGACCATGGCTTTTCCCATAGTGCCAACCTTTCGTGAACTCAAGCTGATCTCATCAACGACAAGCTCTATGCATTCCAGAAAAAAAAGACGGCATTTGCAAAGTCAACGTCCGAAAGAAAAAATAAAAGCAACGGAATAAATCTTTTTCTTCACCGGGGAAGCATCCCGTAATACCTAAAAACAAACCTACAAAAAACCTTCGTATAGCTGCTTGAAATACTATGGAGTTGACTGATGGTTTCCACACGGAGTCATAAACATTCAACGTGGAACTTCTTCAAAAAATCCCTTCATAAAAACTTGAAATTTTCAGATCACGTGGAAGAATAACTCCCAACTTTTCCGAACATGATTTCAGAAAAATGTATCCTGAGCTGTCACTTATAGCTGTCAAAGTCAGATAATCGAGCAAAAAACGCAAGAAAATGACGAAAAACCTGTTCGGCAAATTATTACTTTTTCGTTGAAATAAAGCTTACTAGAATCCAAAAAATGCAAACCAAGAGAAAATTGCTGATGGACGTCGTCAATAATTATAATAATCGCCTCTATAAAGTCTACAACAATATGTGCTACTGCGAGTCCGTAATTATTACCAGCATATTCTAGAAGGATTCATCAATACTGTAAAGTATTCTTCTAAATTTAAAAATAAACCCAGACATGCTTTAGAATAAACTAATCAAACATATTCGAATAAATTACCCTCCAAAATTTATGCCAAGAATTGAATAGATAAATCTTTTCTAAAACTTCTCTTATTAAATGAACTCGTGGACATTCGTCCCACAACCATATGCTCCTGACTTCGCGCAGAAACCAGTCATGATCTCCCTTCTAGTTCATGCAACAACAAAAAAGATAGAAATAAAACGACTTTGAGGTCAAATATGACGGGAGCAGAAGAAAAGGTTCCGAAGATTTGCTCAGCTGCTGGAATGCGAATAAGCCGCGTTGGAGTAAGGCCCAGAGTAAATAGAAGACCCAGTGGTCGAAGTGTGCTTTCCACGTCGTCTTCGTTGGATCAGGATCAACGTCGTGATCAGCACGGCGAACATGAGCAGCAAGCCGCAAATAACGATGATCCACCAGAACGTTTCCTTTCTCATGCAAAATTTGCCTTCGTGCAATCCAGCCTATATTCAAGCGAGGAGGAAAAAAAAATGAGACGATCGATATTTTACACTTGCACACAAAATATAACATTTACACTCGAAATGTTGTTCAATCAAACCTCGATTAATAACCGCCACCATTTTTAAAGGCAATTTAAAGGGGGTTCGAGGTCAACAAAAAAGCTATAATAAAATGGGAATAAAATAACGAACAAAATTCTGATTCTTCTAGAAAAACGATCAAAATAACCATCGGATGCGTAAATCATTGCTAATGTTCCCAAGAATTAAATTATGTCATCTCCGTGATTGTGTTCTTCTCTTGATAGAAGACGCTCTCACAGAAACTTGAATCTTGTTGGCGAGCTACCAAAGACAAAATTCATTACCAGGAGCACATTTGAGTTGTCAATAATTGTGGCGGATTGCGTTTTAACGGGGTTCCCGTTAAAATCCGTTATCATCAAGGAGAATTCGTTTTTCAAAGTAAATTAGCGGTTGTCGAGAGTGGCGGCTTTCAATAACGGGTTTAACTGCAATACGAAGCTGAAATCCGTTCCGAAAAAACCAGGAGTTGTCTTATACAGTCGATACTATTCCACATTAATGCATATATTTGACGGACATTTTCTGAGCAATTATAGAACTTCTCAGTAAAAATAGTCTGAATTGCATTTCAAAACAAATGCAGCTCTATGCATAAATTATCGAGTAAATATAAAAAAAACCGATAATAATCTAATAATTGACGACGTAGAATTTATATTCGAGTAAACAACAGTAAAACTGCTAGTGACACTGACCTCTTCGACTTTTTCGACATCCGGAAAGTCCACGTCAGTCCCTGTGCCGTAATCTTCCTCTTCGCTCACGTACAATCCGCTGTAGACTTGAATCGTGCGTTGTTTTCGTTCTTCCTCTTCCACTCGGGTAAGCTGACGCTTGCGACGACGACGACGAAGAACCGACTGATAATCACGTCCACAATCCGGGGGCTAGAATAATTTCAATAAATTCATTCCTAATCCGATACAATTCATTCATAAACATAAACGGGTAAAACCATAACATGATTTTACAGACGATGGGACGCGAGATGGATTCACTGATGGATTCATCATGGATTTATGATGGATTATTTATCACAAGAAGTGGATAAAATACACAGAGGAAGCGCTTTACATCGGATTTTAAGGGACCACAAAAAAAAATTCGAGGTTTACAATTAGTGAAAAAAGCTTTTGTGTAGGTGGAAAGGATGAAAAATTACGGAAAAAGTAGTAGGTGATTTTCTAGGCCTTGAATTGCTTTTTAAATGAGTTGACAGGATGCTGAACTTGGAAGCATAAGGGTTCTTTCGCTCACATAGTCTTTCACTTCCATTCAAAATACATTGTTACATTTTTATTGCTTCTATCTATAATTTTTCAATATAAAATAATAGCCAAAAAGTCTCCAGAAATTTCGAGTTATGGAGATTTGAGAGGGAAAGCCTTAGAGTTAGGGAGATTTTTAATGAGACTTGAAACAATTCGACACGTATTATCGAGCTTCAAGTGTAATTAAAATTTCCCTTGACGAGAAGACAAAGTCTCGAAAATTAACTGAGAAACCCCAGTGAGAATAAATCTGAACATAAACTGCGCAGTAATTTCAAATTTTGAAAAAGGCACAAATAAATGAGTGAGTACTCAATTTCAGTAAAAGCACTTTAATACGTCGAAGAGCCCAGATTTTTTTGGAAATTTCAGAGTGTTTCTGACCTGATTTCAAACGATGCTTCTGATCTGAAAGTAGGAATAAGAATGAAACAAAATCCCGCTTGGCTTCGTCATATTCAATTATTTCCTCTCCAATTATATTTTCCACTTTTTTAAAAATTCGAAGTACAGTATTATAATTGCTAGCACTTAAAAAACCTTCATTACAAGCTCCCAAAAACTAAACCGAGCTAAATCGTTGATTTACACCAAGAAATCAGTTTGTTGAAGAACAGCTTTCTAATTCGTAATTTTGTTCGGCACGTTTACAAATTTTCAACACTAAAGCTCCTCTGAAACGCGAAGTTTTGATACGCGCTCAACAGAAAAAATTTTATTTCGGGTTGCACGTTGGAAATGTCTCTTGGACGTGGGAATCAGTACCGAAAAGATACAAGTTTCCTCGTTTGTAAGTACTGTACTCTACTATGGAGAGCTGATTGATGCTGGTGTTTTTGAATTATCTGCTCCGCTTCGGTTTGGTGACCCTTTCTGTCGATCTAAGTAGGGCATCGTGCCAACAGCTCATCATTTTGGTTGACCCCTCATTACAATAGCTTGAGAAAAAATTATACAGCAATTTCGTTTTCAAGGAAATCAAGTTTCGCCAAATAACATTAGAAAGTAGACTTGGAAAACATTAAATCGCACGTTCGGGCAAATGAGGAACGAAAGTTAAACCTTCATCAGCCCCATTTCAAATACATGTTACGCATGGTAGATTGAAAAATGCGTAAATTCTTTTGAACTGGAGCTTTCAAAAAAATGACGCGTTCTTTTGAGCAGAAAATTTTTAAAAAATTCCGGCGCAAGAATTTAAATGTCATCTTTGGCAACATGAAGAAAAGTTCGCTCAGTCACACCAAAAAATATAAAATATTGAGTGCTTTTCCTTTCCAACTATAGAATGACTTCATGCAGACATTTTTTTTTTACAGATAATCACAAAACTTTTGAAAAGCCCGCTACGCACGAACGTTTCTACAGCAGCGATCGAAAAATGTGGTCAACTTTCGTCACAGTTTCAAGAAATTTGAATGCGGATCAACCAATCTTCTGAAACGAATGCAATCACCGAATCAGCTTTGCATGATCCGTTTTTGTTTTTGAAAATGCCCCTCGTAAAACTTTGATGATTTCATGCGATTTCGTAATTTTCAAATGAAAATTATCTTGATTGTAAATTGGACTGGAGGCATTTTAATCTTTTTCTTTATAAAGATGATCGAGAAATTTGCATACAAATGATCCGAATATAGCATTCGGAATTTACACATGTTAAACTGTGATTTTTCTGAGCGTAAAAATATAAAACTTCTTGTTTTTACAAAAAAGAATTTTCCGATGACGACCGACTAATTCATGAGCTTTCATCGCTTGCAAATCTTTTAAATATTTTTACTTTACTAAAATTACAGATTCTCAAAATCAATTTTGCGTAGAACATTTTAATCTTTTCTCTCAACCAATAAATCGATTGTCTTCGTCAGTTTCATTTTTTTCTTTTCGAAAAGTAAAACTCACGAGACGACTTGAATTTAATTTAAATAAATTTTCATGCTCCAATCATCTCAGTGAAGAAAAACAATGCCATTTCGTGCGAAGAATACATTTCAGTTTTATACAAGTACTATTCACAGCCAACGCAATGACTCAAGGAAGGAAGGGAGTCTCGATAGGAAATGTTGCTTTTCAAGCCAGGATAAAACTGAAAGTTGAAGACATGAAAGAAACGATTAAAATCGAATCAGAAGTCACGAGAAAATTCGAAGCGGTACAGCATTGAATTTTACGTTAAGCATTACTTTCAGGTCTTCAAGTTCTCGGCGATCGAAAGGGAAACACGAGCAACGAAAGTACCTTTCGACCGGGAATGTTGCCTTTTCGTGACAGGATCAAATTGAAAATACCTGTCATGAAAGTACCTTGTGAATTAATCACACATCACGACATTGGATACGTTGAGCCAAAGTTTTATGGTTATTCTTTCCGACCTTTTTTTCGAGAAAAATATAAATATCGTTTTGATTGACTTGTACGAGCACCGCCAGTTTTATGATAAATGAAAAATCCCCAAAAACCATTCATCGCATTGGCGCTGAAATTCAATGCTGATTTTTTCAACCGCACGTTAAAATCTTGAGAAGTCAACGACTCTAAAATCCGGCAAATTATGATATCCCAAAACATTTCGAATGAAGGCGGAAGGAAACTGGAGATAAATTTCGACGATTTAAATCGTAAGAAAGTGTCAACCTTTTCCAAAAAGAAGAAGGTCAACAACCAAACATTATTTGAACGACCTATTGGTGTTAACATGTCAACCTCTGTAACATATGATTGGTTATTGACTGCTTTTTTTCAGCAATCAACACATTTTAATAACTTTAATTTGTTAAGGGTCCTTCATCAGTAAAAACGCTGAAAATCCTTTTCCCTTGATAAATTTTCAAAATCTTCTAACTTCAGGACCAGCAGTATGCGAACCATTGTCCACAGGAAATATTCTTCCCAATAATAAATTCATCAAAAGTAGTAATGAAGTTTTTACCTTTATCCGAAATTTTGGAAAGACAATGTCAGTTGAAATAATCTGATGAAAAATAAAAGTTAGCTTTTCTCCCAATACAACTTCAGAAAAATTTTCAACTGCTGAAATAAATTATATCAAATATTCATTCTGAGAAACCTGTCTTGGAACGGAGCCTTCAATTTTTTTTTGGAAACATTATGCTATAGGTGCTTCATTGGTCCTTGACTCAAGTTTTGCAATAAAATGTTTGTTTAAAGAACTTCACGGCAGGTATTTAAAAAATACTGCTGGTCTGCAAAAATGTTATGGACACCTTGCCATTCCGCAAACAATCTTATGGAAATTTGCACCATAAAATTAATTTATGGCACATCGCACCATAAAATTAAGCCTCGATATCAAATTTGGGATTTTCCACCAGAAACAAGTTTGTTAACCAAGGGATTTTTCCTGGAAACCGAAAGTTTGTTAACAAGTGTCCACTGTACAGTAAAGTACTGTACATATACTGACCACATCGTCACAACCACCGGCGCCCTTGACGCAGAGCTTGATGTTGCACGTGTAGTAGACTGACGGCGTGTAGGGGAACTTGTGGGCCTGGAACTGGACCCGGGCAACCCGTTTGTTGGGCTCGTACACGAACGGACCCATGATCTCCTCGTCCTCGGGACACCCGAACTCGTCAATCAGACGCTGCTCGCCTTGGTTCATCCCGTCCCGAACCCAACAAGACGACACCTTGAACCCGTAGATCTCTTGCGGGTCCAATTCGATTTCCAGAGTCAACGGGTCGCCTATCCGCACATTCTCCGCCACTCGGTTCTCGCCGCCGAAATAGATGAGCATCCGACACGCGGGCAAGGCGGCAGTAGCGATGATCGGCGTCGTTCCTTCTAATTGCCTGCAATTTCCCCGATCAATTAATTCAACTGTTTTGCCTCCGGGAAAAAATACTGATAAGCGGCGATCAATTCCCGATCGAGACAGACGAAAGACCGTCTTCATCGACGCAAGAATGCTCAAGAATACCATCAGACGCATGCACCTGTTTACGACTTCAATAAAACAAATAAACTAACCGAACGTGTCTTGGAATGCCTGGAGTCTCACATGTGATTGAAAAAGGGAGCTCAATAATAGGGGTGGTCCAAAAATGAAAATACCCCACCGAGAAGTTATATACGGTCTGGGAATCATTTGGGTGGGGGATTTTGAATTACACGGTCACGCTTGATACGAATGCGAAGAAAACCCGAAATATTTTAGGCAGATTTCTAAAAATAAAACAATAATGAAAAGCTGGAATCGGGGTGGAACGAAAAAAACAATTCGATCTGGTTTGAATATAATGCAAAGTTGATATATTCATCTTTCTTTTCATACAGCATGCTGGAGAACTTTTAAAGCTGAATTTGGACTCCGAAACCATTAATATCGCTTTAGATCGGAATCATGTGGGATTTTATACATATTTAGGCTACACATCGCAATATATTTTTATATAGACAACCGGACAAAATTTTCAGAATTTGAAATCTCGTCACACTGAAAATTCGACCTTGCATTGTAAATTTCTATATTCTTGAAGCGTCTCTTACAGTGGAACCCGAAGATGCAGAAAATTTGACTGAGGGACACTTGAAGCTATAAAAAAAATCTGCCTCGAAATCCGGACCATGTCTGGAAAAAAAATAAAATTTAAAATTTGGCTAAATTTTGATATTTCTTGAACACATTCAAATACAATATTTACATTCACAATTCAAAACAAATCGTATTATTACATTAATTTAATTCATAAGCCAAAACAAGCTAATTTCGTACTTATAGATTCATGTGTAATTTATCAAAGCAATTTGTTGCATTATTGCGTAATGGAGTAGTTCACGAGCTATCCTTCAAACCATGGGTGGGGGATTTTGAATTACACGGTCACGCTTGATACGAATGCGAAGAAAACCCGAAATATTTTAGGCAGATTTCTAAAAATAAAACAATAATGAAAAGCTGGAATCGGGGTGGAACGAAAAAAAAACAATTCGATCTGGTTTGAATATAATGCAAAGTTGATATATTCATCTTTATTTTCATACAGCATGCTGGAGAACTTTTAAAGCTGAATTTGGACTCCGAAACAATTAATATCGCTTTAGATTGGAAGAATGTGGGATTTTATGCACATTTAGGTTACATATTGCAATATATTTTTATATATACAACCGGACAAAATTTTCAGAATTTGAAATCTCGTCACGCTGAAAATTCGACCTTGCATTGTAAATTTCTATATTCTTGAAGCGTCTCTTACAGTGAAACCCCAAGATGCAGAAAATTTGACTGAGGGACACTTGAAGCTATAAAAAAAATCTGCCTCGAAATCCGGACCATGTCTGGAAAAAAAAATTAAAATTTGAAATTTGGCTAAATTTTGATATTTCTCGAACACATTCAAATACAATATTTACATTCACAACAATTCAAAACAAATCGTAAATAATGTAATTAAATTAAGTATTCGGTTTTGTTCGATTAAAGCATGAATATCTAAGTACACATTAAATAGTTTCGTTAAACAACGTAATAACGCATTACCTCATCAAGTGCTCGATAGGAAGTTTGGTTTGTTCACTTTGCCTTCCATTCGCTTTTTACGCAATATTTTTCCACTGATTCAGAAGCATTTGCGTCTCTCATCAGACTCATCGTTAGCAACTTTCGTCAGGATGACGGGTTGACCTAAAGTCAATGGCGATTTATTCTATTCATTCTCGAGCACGGTAAATCCATTCGAGATCTCATTAATGTATATTCACATCGTTAAGATCCGGAAACAGTCGAAGACCCTTGATCGAAATTCCAAGGACGATCGAGTAACTAGATAGCATTCTGAAGTTAGTTGGTCAAACGAAACGCCATCGGGATTGATGCGGTTGATTGATGAGAAAGTGCCACTGTTATACTCACTTGACATTGAAGTCGGATTGGACGGTCTTTTCTTGAGTCTGGTACTTGCATCGGATGTGGTAGCCTCTGCCATGACTCGTCACCAGCTTCCGATGCGGCTGAACGACAATGGTATTGAAGTACTCAATCCCTCCATCAGGCTGAAAAGTAATCGACGCGTGTTTTCAAGATGCACGATGGAAGGATAAAAATAAACCTCAAACCAAAAGAATGACTGACTCAACAATAGGTTCCAGTCAATCCAGCTGGACATTCAATCGTGCNCTGGTACTTGCATCGGATGTGGTAGCCTCTGCCATGACTCGTCACCAGCTTCCGATGCGGCTGAACGACAATGGTATTGAAGTACTCAATCCCTCCATCAGGCTGAAAAGTAATCGACGCGTGTTTTCAAGATGCACGATGGAAGGATAAAAATAAACCTCAAACCAAAAGAATGACTGACTCAACAATAGGTTCCAGTCAATCCAGCTGGACATTCAATCGTGCTTGGCCATTTTCACAATAACGTTTTTGATTAATTTACAGGAAAAATCAGGAGGTTCAGCTTTAAGGGTCACGGAAGAGTTTATACAGATGTCCCTAGATTCGATGTGATACAAGGATAGTTTTTTCGTAATTTTCGATCATTTAAATAAGTTGCATGTACGCACGTATAGCTTGGCTTGTCAGAGCACCAAAGGAGACAAGCGATTTCCTTGTGCTAGACAAGGTGTACTTGTCTTCAAGGAGACTTTAAAGCACTAAAAGCGCTTTGTAAACTTTTAATCCGAGAGTGTGACTTAGGAGTGTAATGTAGTAATGCATATCGTTTTACTTGGGTATAAGCTATACCGTATTCACGCGAATAAAAGCAACCCTTTTTCAATTTCAGAAGCTCAATAAAATCTCGGTTGTGCTTAAATTTGCATATGTTTTGCACTCCTCCGGATTGCGGACCACAAAACACTTTTCTTCTTCAGTTCTTTCGGGATTGAAGTTGAAAATGATTTTAAGAAATGCTGGTCAGATTGTAGCACTTCAAGAAGCATGAGTCATGGACCGACGGCGAAGGGGAAGATCAAGCGTTGAGGAGCACCGTTTTTCCTTTTCTGCGGAAAACCTGAATTCAGTAAGCTATTTTTGGTTTCTGGAGAGTCATAACACCAGGAAAGTAAGTGGGTGCTTGTATTCGCCTCTTCATGAAATTTTAATTTTATTCGTGAAAATCCCGTGGGAGTGCTTATATTCGAGTGAACACGGCACTTAGATTAAGAGATGTCAAAAGATAAGATGGCCGAAACGTTTGAATGATCCAGTCATGAATTCAAAGCGCTTTGTCTCACCATAGCGGAACTCATGGTGTTGCAGGACCACAACGGAATGACGTATTCGACATCTGGGTCGATTCGGTTGTCATATTGAGACATACACGTGGAATTTCTCGAAAGTCCTTTGGGATAGATGAGGCCATTGAACCGGGCATTCGTTTCGATTTTCACTCGAATGTCGTTACTGTTGCATTCTATCCGGATGTCCTCGATCACGTTCGGCTCTGTCGAACCTGAACCGCGAAATGAATCGAAATTAGTAAAAGATAATGGATCCCTTCCGACTTCCGAGAAGATAAAATTATCTCTGCGATAAAATCAACCAGGAAGTCCTTACTGAACTAGATGAGAGCCTTGAGAGGGCTTCAAACACATACTGCATGGTATACGCGAACCATTCATTCGACTTCGGGATCAGTTACTGCATCATATTAATTGAAGGCAGACGAAGGCAAATGAATTAACCATCACCAGAAAAGGTGGCATGTAAATACGCTAGCTCATCTTCAAATCGATAAAATTCACGAAGAAGGTGGAAAACCCCCGAGTCAATATCGTTTACGTTCTTCCGGGGTTTCATTTTCTCGCACTCACTCGTGGATTGTAACGTCGTAGTGGAACTGGCCACGGAGGACGTAGTTGTAGTTGTCACGGCTGCGGGAGTCGTTTGTCCTTTCGTTCCTTGCGCGTTAATGGCCTGTCCGGGCGAAAGAACAAAAGTCGGGAGATCATTCACAAATCACTGAAGCGCGTCTTCGAAAAGATACGGTATGTTAGTTAATGTCTCTTCAGCACTCAAGTCCACTCTATACCATCATCTTCACTGCTGCTCGTTCACTCTCACAGCACACATTCATTTCGATGATCATCTCTTGTCCATGAGTTGTGTTCTCAAGAAATATACGCGGGTATTTCGCAATCGAAGTCAATCCCCGAAAAGACGCACTGTTTTCGTAAAACTTGCATCTCACGGAATACAGCGCAGTACAGTATTAGATACATTACCTTAGATGATGCATATGATAGCTTCGAAATGGCTCTATCTCAAGAATGTGAATAGCCAAATATTCAAAACAACGAAAGGGGTAAGTTCGCGTGTAGTGTATTGATATTAAACCTTAGTACAACGTACACGCACGCCGCTACGTGGACAATCATTGACTTTGCGCTAATGTCTTTTCGGCCTTCAGAAAAAATGAGGAGACTAACAAAATAAATTGAGTCTAATTATGATGTTCTTTATTTCCAGACAACTTTTTCTCATTTTTTAAGTATTTTCGAGTAAATGCGGTTGCAGCAGAAATTAAGTCAATTCAAGAATGAGGTTACATCGGAAATTCTTCAATCATCACGCGTTCTCGAATAAAACGTTAAGCTTCACGCCAAATGCAAGCACTGCTGCTGAAGAAACAAATGCGAGACAATCCAATAATCCAATTTCAGTCATTCTCAGCGCTTCTCGTTTACCTTCAGGGGATTTCGATCGAGATAAACTTTGCGATCACCCGCTTTCTCAAATGAATGCTGGCACGTGAAAAGAACGCAGATCGTTTAAGCGTCGCGGTGAGTAATGTATGCGTTCAAGGATGTTTCCCACACAGTCTCAAGGAACCATTGTGTTTGATGGTGTTCGACCTCGTGGCGGTTATCTTGAAAAGTGGATCCTCCTACTGATGCATGGCATGTACAGTGCCTTAGTATAAGCAGGGAATCAAAACAGTCAAGGCCACAAAGGGTAATTTCAGTTGAAGAAGATGGGTCTTCAACTGATATTACAAGTATTATAGGGACAGTTTACAAAAATATAGTAGTTGGTCCATATATGATGCAGATACATGCACTTTTCTGTTTACAACATCTGTTCGAATAGAAGATTTAGGCACCTCAGTAACTCATCCACAAGATATTCTTCAAAAAAAAAAAGAAGTCACTGTACTTCACAAAATATTTCTTCTATTCTCGAAGGACTCAAGGTATAGTAAGTATACTCCGGGTGAGTCAAAATGGGGGATTTGTTGGGCTTCCTGCTTTCGAAATGTTTTAATGTAGAATGCTCTTAAAAACATTAAACATTAGATTTTGATCTAGCACTACATTTGATTTTAAGACAATATGAAAGTGGCAGACCTTCACCCAAGAAGCCATCAAAGAAAATGTTCAGATTTTCCTTCCTGAACATTATCTGTGTAACTGAGGCACTACATACATTAGCCAGCATGAGCTGGTTATCCACAGAATACAAATAATACAGATTCTCCACAAGAATTTTCTCTGTAAATGATTTTTTTTTTCCCAAAGGTAGGTACAAAAATAGTTTCTGGTCCCCTGTACTACTTGTAAAGAGAGTCCACCAATATTTCTGCTTTAATATAATCATTGCCCAATCTGCCAAACAGTTTTAAATTGCCACATTCTAGTCCCTGGGTTTAAAAAATGGAAGAACACAAAACTACTGTGGATTTATTAGATTAAATTCCAAGTCCTATGATGTAATACTGTAATAGGTCATGTTGGCTCCTGGGATAACTGCTGGATAAGCACTAAAGAATTCCCCCATACACGCAGTTCATAGATGTCGCTCGCGCGTTGTTCGCCCTGCCCCCATCGAGATGCACTCACCGCATAGAATTTCTTCCCAAGATTTTCTATTCTCTCACCATTATAAGGCTTGATACTATTTTCTCTTTATCCTCAACACAATCGCCTTTCTTACTATGACATAAGGAGCGATGAACGAGGAACTTCCGCGCGGCGAAAGGCGACGAGTTCCTCGTGCCGGGATTTTGGATCGCGTGACACACACGCAACCTGTCAAAAATGTGGTAGCGAGAAAAAANGAAGGTGGAAAACCCCCGAGTCAATATCGTTTACGTTCTTCCGGGGTTTCATTTTCTCGCACTCACTCGTGGATTGTAACGTCGTAGTGGAACTGGCCACGGAGGACGTAGTTGTAGTTGTCACGGCTGCGGGAGTCGTTTGTCCTTTCGTTCCTTGCGCGTTAATGGCCTGTCCGGGCGAAAGAACAAAAGTCGGGAGATCATTCACAAATCACTGAAGCGCGTCTTCGAAAAGATACGGTATGTTAGTTAATGTCTCTTCAGCACTCAAGTCCACTCTATACCATCATCTTCACTGCTGCTCGTTCACTCTCACAGCACACATTCATTTCGATGATCATCTCTTGTCCATGAGTTGTGTTCTCAAGAAATATACGCGGGTATTTCGCAATCGAAGTCAATCCCCGAAAAGACGCACTGTTTTCGTAAAACTTGCATCTCACGGAATACAGCGCAGTACAGTATTAGATACATTACCTTAGATGATGCATATGATAGCTTCGAAATGGCTCTATCTCAAGAATGTGAATAGCCAAATATTCAAAACAACGAATCCCCATTCAAGCGCACATCACATAACTATAATTTGGAATCATGTTGCATGTGCGTGCGGCGATGCACCTGTTAGTAACTGAAACGCGATTACAGAAAAGCCGGAAGTCTTTTTTACTCCTCTGATTAAAAATAAATCGAGTCTAATTATGATGTTCTTTATTTCCAGACAATTTTTTCTCATTTTTCAAGTATCTTCGAGTAAATGCGGTTGCAGCAGAAATTAAGGTAATTCAAGCATGAGGTTACTTCGGAAATTCTTCAATCATCACGCGTTCTCCAATTAAACGTTAAGCTTCACGCCAAATACAATCACTGCTGCTGAAGAAACAAATGCGAGACAATCCAAAAATCCAATTTCAGTCATTCTCAGCATTTCTCGTTTACCTCCAGGGTATTTCCATCGAGATAAACTTTGCGATCACCCGCTTTCTCAAATGAATGCTGGCACGTGAAAAGAACGCAGATCGTTTAAGCGTCGCGGTGAGTAATGTATGCGTTCAAGGATGTTTCCCACACAGTCTCAAGGAACCATTGTGTTTGATGGTGTTCGACCTCGTGGCGGTTATCTTGAAAAGTGGATCCTCCTACTGACGCATGGCATGTACAGTGCCTTAGTATACGCAGGGAATCAGAATAGTCAAGGCCACAAAGGGTAATTTCAGTTGAAGAAGATGGGTCTTCAACTGATATTACAAGTATTATAGGGACAGTTTACAAAAAATATAGTAGTTGGTCCATATATGATGCAGATACATGCACTTTTCTGTTTACAACATCTGTTCAAATAGAAGATTTAGGCACCTCAGTAACTCACCCACAAGATATTCTTCCACAAAAAAAGAAGTCACTGTACTCCAGAAAATATTTCTTCTATTCTCGAAGGACTCAAGGTATAGTAAGTAAACTCAGGGTGAGTCAAAATGTGGGATTTGTTGGGTTTCCTGCTTTCGAAATGTTTCAATGTAGAATGCTCTTAAAATTAAACATTAGTTTGATTTTAAGACAATATGAAAGTGGCAGACCTTCACCCAAGAAGCCATCAAAGAAAATGTTCAGATTTTCCTTCCTGAACATTATCTGCATGTGTAACTGAGGCACTACATACATTAGCCAGCATGAGCTGGTTATCCACAGAATACAAATAATAAAGATTCTCCACATGAATTTTCTCTGTAAATGATTTTTTTTGTCCCAAAGGTAGGCACAAAAATAGTTTCTGGTCCCCTGTACTACTTGTAAAGAGAGTCCACCAATATTTCTGCTTTAATATCATCATTGCCCAATCTGCCAAACAGTTTTAAATTACCACATTCTAGTCCCCGGGTTTAGAAAATGGAAGAACACAAAACTACTGTGGATTTATCAGATTAAATTCCAAGTCCTATGATGTAATACTGTAATAGGTCATGTTGGCTACTGGGATAACTGCTGGATAAGCACTAAAGAATTCCCCCATACACGCAGTTCATATAGATGTCGCTCATCGCGCGTTATTCGCCCAGCCCCCATCAAGATGCACTCACCGCATAGAATTTCCTCCCAAGATTTTCTATTCTCTCACCATTATAAGGCTTGATACTATTTTCTCTTTATCCTCAACACAATCGCCTTTCTTACTATGACATAAGGAGCGATGAACGAGGAACTTCCGCGCGGCGAAAGGCGACGAGTTCCTCGTGCCGGGATTTTGGATCGCGTGACACACACGCAACCTGTCAAAAATGTGGTAGCGAGAAAAAAACCTCCCAAGAAACTAACGAAGTCGCAGAATTGCCATCAAAAAAAGAAGATGCGGAGGAAAGAATGACAGCGGGAAAATGAGCAGAAGCACGAAAGACAAGGGACGAGGGAAAGATGTTCGAAAAAAGGCACAAGGGAAAATAGCAATACATAAGAAGTGGCCTGTCTTTTTTCTTCTGCTGGATGGTCCTTTTTCGTTTCCGGAAAGACTCTCTATGGCGGGAGGGAGCAACAATTTCGCATTCATTCGCGTTGCGTCATCATCATAAGAAAGGAAAAGCAAGAAGGATTTAAAATTAGTTGAAGAGAAAAGGCATTGTCGCTTTATATATATGCGGAGTTTCCCTGACAGATGAGCAACATCTGGTTTTCTGACTTAATTATGAGTCTATTTATATCACTTGTTTCTGAAAAAAGGTAAAAAATGATTAATAGTCTTCCTACAACGGGCAATTTTGTATACCGTACTTACTCAAGTACCATGCACACTCTCTTTCGAATAATTTGAGATATCTTTCCAAATCCGATTTTGAGAATGCAATCAAAGGTTACATTAGGATAATCATGTCCCAATGTTAGGACATGATTCAACATCCCAAATCAAACCCTGCCTAAGTGGGGAGCTATTTTTGCTGTGACCCCACAGTAGGTGCAACCCAGGGTCACAACTGGTGCATATGGGTTACAAGTGTGCACTCCTGTAGAGGAAATTTTGCTACCATTCCAGGGCTACACTTGGTGTACAAATGTGACATAACAGGAGTATCACACAAATGCACATACTGTAACCTTGGTGTAACTTATTTGTTACAAATGTGACCCTGAGTAATCCTGGTGTGAACACACAATTTGCGCACATTTGGGGTATGCATGTGCAGAAAAAGAACTGGTACACTTCAGGTGCACAGCAGGGCCAATGTGTGGAAATACATGCATATCCCAAGTGTGCACCATTTCCCCCACTCAGGCGCTGATGTCATTCAATGTACTGGTCACACACAATACTGTGTAAGTTATGCATCTCTTTACAATGCATCATGGTACAGTACATGCCCTCGCTGCATCCAAAATGGAGGCAAATCTTGCCGTGTCAACCTAGCATCTGCTAGGAATGCATCCATTTATGCATCCTCACCCAGATTAAAATTTGCATTACTTTGGATGCATCCGTATATATACACCTTAACCCTTGGATGGCAGAGGGTTCTTTCCCATAGCAGGACAGAGTTGGATTATTTTTGTATCCTCCTGCATTTTCAGATTTTTGAAGGTCAGGAAAACCCTTCCAGGTGGGCTGAGGCAAAGTTGGGATAAATCCCAAAAAAAGCCAGTAGCCAAACTGAGCATTTTTTTTTAATTTTCCCGCAAAAATTTTCTGCGCACACGGAAAAAAACATTGGGATTTTTCCAGACTTTCCCCTTAATCCCCTGTTGACTTTTTTTTCATTACCTCTCTGAGGCGCAACAAATTTTCGAAAAAATAGTCCAACTTTGCCACCCAAAGGTCATGTCTTTGAGGCATTTGGGGACACTAAATGGTTTTCCTGGGTTGGAAGGCAAATTTTTCCACAAAAGACCTGTTTCATAGGACATTTTTGAATAAAATATAATCATCAAATTCATCCATGATGAGTTGCTCTCCTTCCAAGAATCAGTTCCCTCAGGCCAAATCCGATTTCGAGAATGCAATCAAAGGTTGCGTGGAGATAAAATTGAAACAAGTAAAAACTTCCATTCTCCGAGTTTTACAGAGCAATTTAAAAGAGGTTCTCACAAGTGCCAATCACAGCAAAATTGCATGCGTGGTAAACAGCAGCATTAAAATGCGGTTGTTTCCTCGGGTTATTGTGGCTAATGTATATATAGCTATTTCGTTATACCGAATTTTTATTATACTGTACAACGATCCTCTGGAAGGTACCGGCTGAATATTTCACAGAAAAAAGGAGAAATGAACACCTCTATATAAGTAAATTTATTTATATCAGGATATTCAGTACAGCAAATTTATTACCATAAATGAATTTTCTGAAATTTTCCTCATCAGTCGAATCTAATTACAACGGATTTCGTGTAAAGAAATAATCGCTTACAGTGAATTCGTTGTTTCGGTCACTGCCCAATAGCCACAATGTTTTTTTTAAATTGTCTTCATAACGAATTGTTCGTTAAAACGAAAATGTTTTACTGGTGTCAATTGGAGTGAATAAATATTTTCACTGCATAAACTTTGTCTTCTGTGTTCACGTCCGTTGATTTGTCCGCAAAAATCTCAGGCTTGAAGAAATTTATTTCTCATTTCAGAAAATTCGAGATAATATCACGTGAAGGCCGATTTATTCGCTTAAAAAAAATTTTTTTTACGCGACTTCAACCTATAACGAAGTGCATAAATCTCGACTCACTCCGTGTTTTATAGATTAAAAAAAAAAAAAGAATCCCAGGCAGGCAGAAAGACACGTACAGTACAGTATTAACCAACAGGGCAATAAAAGTAAAAACGTGTGAAATTCGGTTGCAAGTAGAAAAGGAGAAGTTGATGTAACTAGGGTGAGGTGGGTTACGTATTAGTCAAGGTATTCGCGTGGGTCGCTTTCTATATACGACTCTCACGTGCGCCCCCACAAAAACGCAACCCGACTCAACGCGACCCATTAGCGACGCATCAGGAGAAAACGATTTTCTCTTTCTTTCTTTATTTAGTTTATTTTTTTGGGTTCCTTTTGTCTCGCCTTATTGCTGTCGCAATATGCCCAATCGACCGAACAGACGAAAATACCGCCCTTGTTTCTTTAATTCATTATTATATACAGTACTATACTTATATATATATTATGTATTTATTCGGCTTGTCATTCCTAAAACGACGGGACAGACTATTGGATTCAATCAAGTGGGACAGTACCTTTGCAGTACTGTCTCTTTTGGCAATCAGCGAAGGCCGGCCAGAGAAGCAAAGTACCAATTGTCACTTCATGTTTTCTTTGGCAATGCGATGATTCACCACCACAGGATTCTTTTCTCTTTCAACATT